ACAATTAAGAAACGTTTTAAAAATTAATTCTTAATTACATCCTCGAGTTTTAAAATTATATTCGTGTTGGAATAAAGACAATAAAGATGAATAAATTACCGTAACAAAAATAAACTTTTATACATGCAAAAATATTTTCTTTGGATTTTGTTAACGTGAAGCGTGTGGCTAAAGGAAAACAGCACGTTTTGTCGTAATCCCACTATTAACCTCTTAAATAGATAAACAGCATGTGTTTAACTATCAAATAAATGTTAGTACTAACACGACTTGCATGTAGAAACGTTCTCCTTATTAGAGTCGAATAAGAAAATTAATTATTGTGCTCCTTAATATTCATATATAGAGTACAGGCCCTATATATTAAGATGCACATTATACACAATATAAAAAGATATATTTCTAGCACTGATATTTTAAATTAACAATAACAACTTTGTAGAGGTCGCCTTTCACGAAACCTTACTCCTGTTATCACGTTTCCTTTTAATGATAAATTTTTCAGTATTTTAATTAACTCCAAGCATGAAGTTTCTGCTGCTTATAACTGTAATTATTTACGTATTAATTCATATTTCGTATGAAGAAACTACGGATGAATTTTGCTGTAAGTAGACCACAATTATGATAATCTACAGCTACAAAACATTCACAAATTTTAATTTCTTATGTTTCTTTATAGCGAAACCTGCTAAAGGTGTAAAATTTTGGAAATGCTCCCTTAGAAAGCTACCCAGCTATTACCGCAAAGTAAATTTATTTAAGTATTGTTATTAACACCCTTTTTAAAGTTGTATATATTTAAATTATATAAGATACATTTATATATATATATTAGTTTTTCGAACAATTAGCTGATTGCGTGATTATCAAGAAAGGATTCTCAAATAGAAACAGAGCTTTAGTATATTTCGCGTGCACTGATACTTCTCTATTAGACAAGGTAAGACTTAAGAAATTTATTATTATACGATGATAAAATATCTTTCTTAAAATTAATATTATATGATATATAAATATATTTGTTGTTTCAGGTTGTAAAATGTTTTGAGAGAAAACGTTCGGTAAGATAAAATTGTATAATGTGTATATGATAAATAATGAAATTCAATCAAATTATTATACAAATGTCTAAGACGTAAGGATGAACAAAATTGCTAACGGTGACGGTGCTAGAAAAAGTCGGAGCCTTCCTAGAAAAGTCTTCCATAACATTGTGAGTGTTGAGATGCATCACTCGAAATGTTATGGAAGGCTCGTTATCAAAGTGGGCATATTTTATACTGACAGATATGAACGACAGAGGGGTAGAAACGAGGCATTTGCTCCTCCCTAGGATCGAGTTAAAAGTTCTGCAAATTGTAAGGTCATATACCTCAATTACTTCTACAGTGATTGAGATATGTGCCCTTACACTCTCAAACGTGGAACTCTTTGATGCAATACTGTATTCTATAATCTACTTGTTAAAAAACCCTACAAGTAGTGTGTATTACCGTATGTTAGACGTTGAGTCATAAAGTTCGTGCCATATATGTCTATTTTCATCTATTCATGTACAAATGTTGTCTGTCCTTAAGTTTTGGAACGTGTGTATTAATCAAATTATATATAATTTTATTGAATTACTGTATTTTTAATACTGGACTTATTNATTATAAAGTTATTAAAAATCCTATAAAACGTGACCTCTCATAATATTTTGACTTTGAGTCACATTCTTCGTATTTTTTAAACTTAAATATTATTTTTTGAAAAAATACCAAAATGTCTCAAAATTCAACAAAATTACTTCTTTTAAGCTTTTATTATTATTTAAATTTTATATCGTAGTTTAAGAGGAAATGATCAGACTTCCTTGTGTATCTTTAACCTCTTACTAGAGTACTGGGAAAGCGTTTTGTGTTGCAATTATCAAATTGCAAACCTATAGATTCCCACTCGCTCGTTAGTCCTTCCTTCGGCGCTAAAACAGGGTTACATAGATGAAAATCGAGACTACATATGGAAAGCTTAGGACCAGAGACCCAATTAGCTATAAGTTCGTATTTAGTTCGGAAGTTCGAGTCACGTAATTTTATAGATCAAAAGCCTTATTTTTGAGATGGGAATGACTAAACTCTAATAAAATTTCCATTATGTCTCACTCCAGTTGAGATGTGTTCTTTACCACTGTCTAGCTCTTATTCCCCGTGACTTATAAAACTCCAAAATGTAATACAGTAGAACCTCGAAAACTCGGCTCTCGATAACCCGGCACTCCGGATAACTCGGCCACACCCTGGCAGGGCAAAAAAATCCTTAGTTAATTAATTTTCATTATAGACAGCTTTATAAAAATATAAAAGCTCTCATAAAATATTTTTCTGAGGTCTGTCTTATCAGGTAAATTACTGTACACAGTGTATTCATTAATTTTCATTTTTATGTAATAAAGGCTCTATGCCTTCATAAAGTACGTAGTTTTCCTTTGTTTAAGGGTATTTGGGCAGTTTATTCTCTGTTATATTCTCAAGTAAACAATACATACAAGTACAGTACAGTATTTTCTGAGGAAACACTCGTACTTATTTTTTTTAACCCCATTCCCGTTAACCCGGCATTTTCACAAACTCGGCCACCCTTCGGTCCACATTAGGCCGAGTTTTCGAGGTTCTACTGTAGCATCATTACCTCATATACAGAAGTATTCTTGACAAATTCAAAAATATTTGGGTCATGGAATCCCGAGATACAAAGCAAAATACCGGCCAATACTGTCGAGTGAAAACCGGGACATCAAAATTTGACCGATCATTCTTATGTCCAGCCGAGGGGACTTTAAAAGGGGAGGAATTTACAATCTGCTAAAGAAATTGCTTAATGTTACAACTATTATTTATTTACAATTAGCTTGCGTCTTCACATTTGAGCGAACAAAACATTGTCTTAAAAAGCATCACTCATGCTGCATATTCTCGTTACATTATTTTATCGTTCCAAACCAAAAGAAAATTTGAAAGTTGTCTATGTTAGTTGATAGACGGTGATACATGTAAATTAATACNATTTATTATTATACGATGATAAAATATCTTTCTTAAAATTAATATTATATGATATATAAATATATTTGTTGTTTCAGGTTGTAAAATGTTTTGAGAGAAAACGTTCGGTAAGATAAAATTGTATAATGTGTATATGATAAACAATGAAATTCAATCAAATTATTATACAAATGTCTAAGACGTAAGGATGAACAAAATTGCTAACGGTGACGGTGCTAGAAAAAGTCTGAGCCTTCCTAGAAAAGTCTTCCATAACATTGTGAGTGTTGAGATGCATCACTCGAAATGTTATGGAAGGCTCGTTATCAAAGTGGGTTCTCGTTACATTATTTTATCGTTCCAAACCAAAAGAAAATTTGAAAGTTGTCTATGTTAGTTGATAGACGGTGATACATGTAAATTAATACTTTTTTATTACGGACCACAAAAAATTATACATGGTTACAGTTCTATCATGTAACGAAATCATAATAATTATTTTCCTATTTTATATTAAGTTAACAGAGTATCAATTCTACTATTTATAGTAAAGCAAAGTATAGACAATTCTCTTAAGGAAGATGTGATAATGTTTTGGGTGTAAAATGTAATGATAATTTACAGGAGACAAAACATAGAGAATTCACATAAAAATCATTGACTAGATATGGCCATTTGAGATTCGGTGTGTTTTGGCTACAGTGTGTTGCCGGCCAGATTTTTGTTATAATCAGTTTTTTAAAACGAATGAAAAAAAGTGGATTAATTGCTACCAATACGATTAGTTAACACAAGGCATTTCTACATTAAGCTAATATGGCTTCCATAACTTAATTACAGTAGAGCGTCGTTTATCCGAAGGTCGGTTATCCGAAGGAATTCCAGTCGACAAATTTAAATTTTCGCCAGTGCTGTGGCGCTGTAATCTTTGGCTATGTCTTCGGCTACTCAAATATTTTACGTTTTTGATACTAAATTAACTTCTGAAGTATAATTTTTTTATTGTTTTTATATTTTTCAATATATTTATTTTGTTTGTACAAAATAAAAAAATAATTTTTAACGATACAATAGTCATCGTTATACTTAACATCGACGAAAATTCAACGCGAAGCGACACGCAACGGAGAAAAATTTCAACACGGAAGAAATTATTATATTTTTTCGTACATAATCGGTTATCCGAAAAATAAGTTATCCGAACAACCCCAGTCCCCAGTTGATTAGGATAAACGACGCTCTACTGTATTCTAATTACAAGTGGGATCAACTCGCAATGGAATGCCAGCTTAGATGAAAAATGAGAGTGCAGTGATTTGAATGTGGTTGAATGTAGAATTATGCAAAATTTAAGAAGAGTATAATGTTAATTGTTTTCTAAAAGTTAGCTTTAAAAAAAAATACATAATCTTGTAGACATTTGTAAGCAAATCATATGAGAATCCGAAAAATTTTACTTGAAGTTTTTATAACTTAATTTGCTAATCTAGAAAATTAACATGGAAATAATGCATTCATATACTGTATGGTCATTTGGAATATTTTGTTAAATCACACAGCACAATATTTTTTATTTTTAACTTTCCGAATCTACAGATAAATATTTCCTCTCTCAAGTATTACGAATTACTTCCTATCGACAAGTAAAATTATTTCAGGAAACAATTAAGAAACGTTTTAAAAATTAATTCTTAATTACATCCTCGAGTTTTAAAATTATATTCGTGTTGGAATAAAGACAATAAAGATGAATAAATTACCGTAACAAAAATAAACTTTTATACATGCAAAAATATTTTCTTTGGATTTTGTTAACGTGAAGCGTGTGGCTAAAGGAAAACAGCACGTTTTGTCGTAATCCCACTATTAACCTCTTAAATAGATAAACAGCATGTGTTTAACTATCAAATAAATGTTAGTACTAACACGACTTGCATGTAGAAACTTTCTCCTTATTAGAGTCGAATAAGAAAATTAATTATTGTGCTCCTTAATATTCATATATAGAGTACAGGCCCTATATATTAAGATGCACATTATACACAATATAAAAAGATATATTTCTAGCACTGATATTTTAAATTAACAATAACAACTTTGTAGAGGTCGCCTTTCACGAAACCTTACTCCTGTTATCACGTTTCCTTTTAATGATAAATTTTTCAGTATTTTAATTAACTCCAAGCATGAAGTTTCTGCTGCTTATAACTGTAATTATTTACGTATTAATTCATATTTCGTATGAAGAAACTACGGATGAATTTTGCTGTAAGTAGACCACAATTATGATAATCTACAGCTACAAAACATTCACAAATTTTAATTTCTTATGTTTCTTTATAGCGAAACCTGCTAAAGGTGTAAAATTTTGGAAATGCTCCCTTAGAAAGCTACCCAGCTATTACCGCAAAGTAAATTTATTTAAGTATTGTTATTAACACCCTTTTTAAAGTTGTATATATTTAAATTATATAAGATACATTTATATATATATATTAGTTTTTCGAACAATTAGCTGATTGCGTGATTATCAAGAAAGGATTCTCAAATAGAAACAGAGCTTTAGTATATTTCGCGTGCACTGATACTTCTCTATTAGACAAGGTAAGACTTAAGAAATTTATTATTATACGATGATAAAATATCTTTCTTAAAATTAATATTATATGATATATAAATATATTTGTTGTTTCAGGTTGTAAAATGTTTTGAGAGAAAACGTTCGGTAAGATAAAATTGTATAATGTGTATATGATAAATAATGAAATTCAATCAAATTATTATACAAATGTCTAAGACGTAAGGATGAACAAAATTGCTAACGGTGACGGTGCTAGAAAAAGTCGGAGCCTTCCTAGAAAAGTCTTCCATAACATTGTGAGTGTTGAGATGCATCACTCGCAATGTTATGGAAGGCTCGTTATCAAAGTGGGCATATTTTATACTGACAGATATGAACGACAGAGGGGTAGAAACGAGGCATTTGCTCCTCCCTAGGATCGAGTTAAAAGTTCTGCAAATTGTAAGGTCATATACCTCAATTACTTCTACAGTGATTGAGATATGTGCCCTTACACTCTCAAACGTGGAACTCTTTGATGCAATACTGTATTCTATAATCTACTTGTTAAAAAACCCTACAAGTAGTGTGTATTACCGTATGTTAGACGTTGAGTCATAAAGTTCGTGCCATATATGTCTGTTTTCATCTATTCATGTACAAATGTTGTCTGTCCTTAAGTTTTGGAACGTGTGTATTAATCAAATTATATATAATTTTATTGAATTACTGTATTTTTAATACTGGACTTATTATTGTTATCGTTAAATAAAAATATTATATATACACTTTTTCTTTAGAAAATTAATGGCAAACCTACTAAAGCTGATGAAAATAAAGCAGCAGGCGTTTTTGATAGTTGTTTCAGAAGAGCTTTTCCAGAAGCCAAATGAATTCAACTCAAATCTATAAAAATACATCCATTAATCTATGTATTTTGCACATTTGTTCATACTCTACTTTTTTATTAAATGTAAATAAAATGTTTTCAAATTATTAGAGTATTTATTATTATTAAGCTTATTGCTATAGAAATAATAGCGCAAGGTTGATTGCCGAGACTTCCATTAATCTACGCAAAAATATTTCACTTCATTTCGATTAAAATTCGAATGATCCACTGTCCAGGGGCGTATTTAAAGGAGTGTAGGCTTTACCGCATTCCCTTAAATACGCCACACGACAAGTAGTAGCGACAGGACGAAATTTCAAGTCAACAAACTGCTCAATTAATTATCACAGCAATTTTATGCGTGTATTTTTTTCGAATAACCATAAAAAATTGCTCTAATAAACCGTAATAATTTAAAAAATGAATGACCGAGGTGGGTAAGACATCATCCTAGTTGCTCTGGAGACCCTGCCTACCGGTGGCCGAATAGATAAAACTAAACACTAGTATATGGTCCCGGGTTCGTGCCTACGAATAGTCTGACCGTGTGGTATTTTCCGGATTCTCTTCATATGTGTAGCAGCTCTCTTGGCGGATTGCTCTTAAACGTGGCGTGTCTAAGAAGTTCGGCGAACATTAGGATATCTTGAATGCAACAAGTCCGAGTTTGTATGTACAGTACGTGGACATCCGATCGAAATTTCACCCTTTACAGACAGAGATCACAAAATTCACTATAAAATCCATATTTTTAACATAAAATTGAGTCGCTACGCAACAATAAAATTTTCTTGTTGAGAAAGGATTTATTGACTCATGCGATTATTTATTGCGAGTGTTTTCTAGAGATTTTCAGCGATTTATAAGTAAATTTCGACTAAGATCTTTCTAGATTTAAGTACTTTTTAAGCAAAATATCACAATTAGCGGAGGAGATTTTCAATAAGAATTGATCGGTTTCCTTCAGAGGAATCCGATCTTTACCTTTATTTTGGAGGGAGCCGATTCGGTCTTTTCATTGTTAATTTTCCAATCGAATTGTTAAAGCAAAATGAAAATTACAAATACGTTAAATCTCTTATTGCCCGTTATAGTTTAAATATTACGTATATACATTTTTTAATGCAAGTTCTATTTTCACAACATTCGTTCATTTTTCTTTGCAGAATGGACAATTTCAAGGAATTGAAGAAGTGGCATATCTCGGGCCATGCCGAGCCCGAGGATGGCGTCTCGTCTTGGCCTCGTGTAATACGGATGCTTCCAAAAGATGCGGAGGAGGAGTTGCATACATCCGACGTCAAAGGGGTGGTCGTCGTAACTCCGGACGACAGCGCCTCGTCTCTCGTCTATTATCTGGAGCGGCGATATCCCGAAGTTCCGGAATGGACGGTGGAGACACAGTCACCCGAGACGAGACTGAACAGAAAGGAGTCCGAATAAATGATGGAAGAATCTGTCAAGCGTAAAAGGCCTTGGTGGAAAAGATTGTTTTTCTGCTGGAAAAAATAACATTCTTTCTGCCGAGACCTTCTTGCACGGATTTCGACTTTCCACCGAATGTGATACAGCCACCCGGAAGTGACCTTTCACCCGAATATTACACTTTTACCCGGAATTAATCAACTGGATTTGACTTTTCATCCCAATTTACGGATAGATACCTCGACAACATTCGAGATTCGTTCTTCCAATTCGGTTTAAGTACAGTACATAGAACAACGACAGTAGCCAAAGTGACAACGAAACATTAAGCAGTATTCTCGTGTTTAATAAAAGACTGTGTTTAAACGACTATAACTGGCCAAAGCAACTTATAATATTTCAACTGGTGTTCTACTAGTAAAACATTTCACCTCGAATAATACACTACGGAGGAAACCATTTCCAAGTTAAACTTTAACCAAAAACACACACTGCAGTCGATATATGTCCAAAGCAGAATTATAATTACTTCAACAGTTAAAATTGTACTGTACTGTACATGGAATCTTCACGATTGTATATAAATTTTTATATTTAATAAAACTTATTAAATTTTATATTAACTGTTTAAAGATTCGATATTTNTTCTTGCATTTTGGGTGTTGTCTATTCGAATATCGCCTAAGCCAAACTGACGACCCTCTCACCTTTACCGCTCTTAGAAAACGCGTCCCGTAGTTACAGGGTAATAAACTTGAACGGCTATCTCCTGACTCGTGAGCGAATTGTCGGACTAACGGAAGTAAATACTCGGGTCCGATATCTCACAAATCCATCCATCGATCAGTTTTCATTTCATCAACTTATTAAATTTTATATTAACTGTTTAAAGATTCGATATTTATTGAAATTGGATTTTTTTGTGAGGCAAAAATTGCTATAATATTTTATTGAGTGCAGTTTGTTGACTTTAAATTTCGTCCTATCGTTACCAATAGTCATACGTAGGGCTTTACCCGCACTCCCTTGAACAGAGAATCATTCGAATTTTAATCAAGTTAAAATAAAATATTTTCGCTTAGAATTAATGGAAAAGTCTCGGAAATCAACCGTGCNTTCACGATTGTATATAAATTTTTATATTTAATAAAACTTATTAAATTTTATATTAACTGTTTAAAGATTCGATATTTATTGTTATAATACTTTATTGAGTGCAGTTTGTTGACTTTAAATTTCGTCCTGTCGTTACCAATAGTCATAAATAGGGCTTTACCCGCACTCCCTTGAACAGAGAATCATTCGAATTTTAATCAAGTTAAAATAAAATATTTTCGCTTAGAATCAATAAAAAAGTCTCGGCAATCAACCGTGCGTTATTATCTCTATAGCAATAATAATAATAATAAGTACTCTAATAATTTGAAAACACTTTTAATCGGATTTATAATTAAAAAGTATATAATTTGAGTTCATTCTTCGTCTGGAAAAGCTCTTTTGAAACATCGATTGAAAACGTTCTTGGCTTTATTTTCATCGGCTGTAGTAAGCGTGCCATTATTTTTCTAAAGAAAAAAGTGTATATANTCAAAAAACTTACTAATACACCTTATCTTGCAGCCGAAGTTTATTACTTCTAACGTTTTCGGTCTTGTTAAAAGACCTTTCTCAAGAAAAATAAAGCAAATAAAAATAACAAGAAGTAATAAACTTCGGCTGCAAGATAAGGTGTATTAGTGAGTTTTTTGATATTATAGTATGCAGTCTCGAACGATTTGTTATTTATTATATACATATTAGACAATTTTTTCTTACCAAACGTTTCATTTGAAAACAATGTACAACCTGAAATAATAAATATATTTCTTAAAATTAATATTACATGATATATAAAGATATTTTATCGTCATATCTTAAGTTAAGTCTTACCTTTCCTAATAGAGAAGCATCGGTGCACGAGAAATACACTAAAGCTCTGTTTCTATTTGAGAATCCTTTCTTGGTAATCACACAATCAGCTAATTGTTCGAAAAACTGAAATATATATACATGTATCCTGTATAATTTAAACATGCAACTATAAAAAAAGATGTCAATAACAATAGTTAAATATACTTACTGTACGATGATAATCGGGCAGCTTTCTAAGGGAGCATTTCCAAAATTTTGCGCCTTTAGCAGGTTCCACTAAAAAGAAACAAAAATTTGTATTGTTGGGCTGCAATTTGAAAAAAATCATAACCTATAAATTCCCACTGCCGTCCGTCTGCCCGTCTTTCCTTAGTCTTTAGAAAAGAGTTAGGTAGATGAAATCCGAGACAAGATATGGAAACCTTAAGGGTAGGAGGCCCCGATTAACTATAACAACTTCCGATGCAAACCGAAAGTCACTTTATGTCAATTCAAAACTTTTCCCCCGAAAGGTGTTGGATAGACGACTCTATTGTTAAAGGGAAAGTATGATATACAGAGGAAAACCACTACTAATTTTAGGTGAAGAGCATATATATTAAATTAAATTGAAAATATGATTAAAAATTGCAGCCCGGCATTGTGACGATGTCACAATAAATAATTGCTCGTTTTGTAGCTATAGATTATCATTATTATGATCCATCCTACTTACAGCAAAATTCATCCGTAGTTTCTTCATACGAAATATGAATTAATACAAAAATAATTACAGTTATAAGCAGCAGAAACTTCATGCTTGGAGTTAATTAAACCAATTTAATTAAAGTACTGAAAATTTTATCATTAAAAGGAAACGTTTCCTTTTAATTTTGTTATCCCGTGATAAAAATCCCGTGATAAAAATGAGTATCTAATTTAAAAATAAAATGGAACCCTAGAGTTGCCTATCTTCGTCAGACAAAATTATTCCTAAATTTAATAGTCGTATTTTGCCATTCTGTACGAGTATTCCCAACGACATATAACTACCAGACTCCGAACCGGTCCGTTATCTTTGAAGCGAATTGAACGCGCTTCCTCCATGACACTTAAAAGGCATAAAGCTGCGCACATGCGGAATATACGTAATACAGATATGACCGTTTATTACATATATATACAATTGTCATCACACGATGCTTTTGCTCAACCGTGGCTTTAACTCAAACTGTGTTAGTCCTAAAACACCAGTCCTAACAAACAGTGCTAACACAAAATCACAGCTGTGCCCTAGCTCCTACGTCCTAACGTGAAAATCTGTTTTTAGCTGGATTGTCGAAATACTGATTTTTTTTTAAATGTGGAGCAACGCTATTAAAAAAAACTCTGTTAACGGCGCAACAGGGCGAAATGCTTCCGTGTCGGAACGGTGGGCGTATTCCAGACACGCGTCATTAATCAGATTTGACCATCAGCCGAAGAAGCGAGTGCTTGTGGTGTAGCGGTTATCACATCCGCCTAACACACGGAAGGTCCCAGGTTCGATCCCTGGCAGGCACAAGGTAATTTTTCTACGTTTTCGGAAAGTTTTGCACGATTCTCCGTTGGTCGTTTCGTAGACGTCCCTTTTACAGTTTTGAGCCAATTTACCGAGATGCATTTCACTCGCTTACAAAAACCTCCGCGCTTTCTTAAAGTCGCTCGAATTGGTAAAAATTATGTGCCTGTGCCAAGTGTGCCGGACACCGAATCGACGATTACTCGCTATGATGAAGGCCGAACAGCTCAAAAAGTATAGGCGAAAGCCGGACGACTAGCACAACTAATCGACGAATAGCGAAAGGCAATTTTAAAAAAAATTGTCACGTTCCCCAGGTGAGGCTCGAACTCACAACCCCGGCATAACTCACAAGTACTGCTTATAAGTACCGTGCGCTAACCAATTGCGCCACTGGGGAATGCACTTTCCCAAAAACGTTAACAATTGCCAACATTTTCATTTTGATTCCGAACGACGCCGGCGATAAGCCAACTCGTAATAAGCAGGTTTTCGACGTGTGGACTATACTCCACACGTCAAATCTTGCAAAATCTTGAAATATAAGCATTGGAAAAGTGCAAAAATCTGCAAAAAAGCTATATTTTCTTCTCGTATTCCTTCATCCGGCACTGCAGACGCTCGTAGAGATAGAAACTACTTTGTCCAGAAAGCTCAGATTTTAAACTTAAGCCCTTCTCGTTATCAGTGAGGTGATGGCGAAACTTCCGGGTCTGTAGGTCAAGGTTCACGGGGGTTTCCCATGGTTCCCTAATTATAAAATGCATTTTATGCTTATAAAATGCATTTTATAAGCATAAAATACAAAAGCTCAAACTTATGCCAATTAAAACTTTTTATAACGATTTTACTAAACGGCATTCAGTACCATGAGGATAATTGAAAATATATTTTGATATAAACATAGATGACGTCACCGTTTCGTTACATCAAAGTTGACGGCAATTTTTCCTTTACAGCGTTTTTTTCTGACTTTGCCGAAATGTCTGTCTCTATATTCGTATGTTTTATTTTCAGATCGATGAGACCTTCACCCGGAGGCGAAAATACAACCACGGCCGCGTAACTAAAGGCACCCAAATTACCATCTTCGGTGCCTATTGTCGGGAAACAAAAGAGGTGATGTACTGGCGTGTAAGTAGTAGCCAAGCATTATTATTTCCTTTTATTTTTTAGTTTTTGTGGAAGTTTTGTTATAGTTTCTCGTATTCTTTCAGGTGGACAACAAGAGCCGACGGGTTCTCTGGAGCCACATGCTCAGATACATCGCCCCCGGTTCCATCATTGTTTCCGACAGCGCGGCCCAATATCGCGGTTTTACGACGATGGGCTTCTCTGAAGATAAGACCGTCAATCACAGCCAGCGGGGCCCCGGGAGGTAAAGAAGATAAAACTGCAATGTGTTATGTGAAAGAAATGAACAAGCGTTACTGAAAAGTGACATTTTTCTTTTATTTTCCGAACAGATTCGTCGACGCCGATGACCCCGAGGCCCACACTCAGAACATCGAGTGCAGAAATCGCTGGTTGAAGAAGTCCATCAAGTCGCTCCGCACGGACAGGAGCCTGCAAAGCTACAACTGTACGTACTGTACGTGTACAGGACGCGGGTCCTGTCCCAGTTGCCAACAACATCGGCAAAATTCCGGCAGTTTCTCGGGGACATCGCGGCCGCATACCCGGGCCCCGGTCGTCAGGGTCTCCAACTCCGGACGATCGGTGTGCCCGTGGATCAACATCTGCCGCCGGACGAGCCCTATTTCGATGTTCCCGTGNTTATTACCTAAGGTCAAGATTATTACCTTAATCAGACAGCCTTTCTTCCCGAACAGTGTTATGAGAAGAGCGAAGGACCTGACCTAGCCTAGGTTAACCTAACGAACTCTAACCGGAAGCTCAATCCTCATAACAGCTGTTTGGGAAGAAAGGTCGGCCGAATGTCGCGTCCGGTGAAGAAACGTGTCAAGTCCGTGGGTCACGTCCGGGTAAGAAAGGTCACGTCCGTTAAAAAGTGTCATGTCCGGGTGAAAAGTGTCGAATCCGGTAAGAAAGTCGCATCCGGGTGAAGAAGAGGAAATCGAAGAAGATCACCGCCTAGGCCAAGGCAACCGCAGCCGTCCGCAGCAACTAAACCACGGACAGCACGGTCCCTCGACTTTGGGGGCTCTCTCCTCCGACTCCTCCCCGTTCCGACTTCGGGAAGGCGGTGGCGTCGCCGTCGCGGACGAACGGGCAGAACGCGACCAAACAGAAAGTGTCAGCTCGGACGAGCTGTCACTTTCAACATCCTCCACAGCAAGGTCTGTGGCCTGATGACCCCCGAAGACCTCGGCCAAGCGCACTGAACCCAAAGTGTAGCGTCGCATCATCCCGACTCCGGGAGGATGCCACGCCACGCGCACTTGGCGAAGGTCTTCTTCACCCGCTGCCTGTCGCTCGTCGAGCCCCCGCTCCTCCAACGGCACGGAACGACAGACTCGTTCCGCGTCGTCCGAGGAACCCTCTCCCTCCGGCGCCACCGCCTGCCTCCGCCGGAACCGCCTCCAACAACGCACCAACGTCTTCATCCTGTAAAAAAGAAAATTTGCAATTAGTCCAGTGAAAACAAAAGCTTAAATTAATGCTTAAATTCTTCCGAGTAAAAGCAAACTGCTCACCGCAGCCGCCTTTTTAAATCTAAAAGATTCGAATCCGAAGCGCAAACGGTCGACCATCGAACGATGTGCCGAGATGTCTTCTGGGACCGATTCTCCAAGTAATATTAAATAAATTCTTACGTCTAGGATCAATAAGGACTAAGACTTACCTAAAAAATCTTCAATCTTCTCTGTAAAAGGCACGAAACCGCAGAAAACAGCACGCAATCCAAGAGCGAAAGAAAAGCACGTCCGACAGCAACGAGAAACACAGTCGAACTGCGATTCGTCATGTGTGACGTATTTCGAACAAACGTTAAAAAACGCGTCAACAATGTTCGAATTTCGTAAAAATTGGAATTTTTAAAAAAAATCAATTTTTAAAATTTTTTTTAATTAATTAATTTATAATTATTTCTCTTTTTTAAATTTGATAAATAAATTATCTTCTGCATTTACATGGTGCAGAATGTCGACCGTAGAGAGGTAAAAGACGATCTTTTTAAATTCTATGTCTCGAGGCTTGACCATCTCCGAAATTCGTTGGAATAAATATCTTTTTCATCCATTTTCGACCATGGCATGAAATAAATTAAATTCTTAGGATTTTGCTTTGCGGAAAGATTCCTCAGTCGCCGTCGGGGTTGGGGGTTTCGCCTATTAATGCAACAACAAACAGGGTAAAGTTAATAATATTAAAAATACCGAAAAACCTTTATAATACGGCCGAACGAAAATTAAGTCCGAGACAACGGGAGATAGACACAGAAGATAAACAGACTGAGCTAGGGGGAAACGTTCTTTCTCCTGGAATTTCTGACTTTTTAAAGGATCTCTCCCCTAAATTCTTAATGTGATCGCTTAATCAATTTGACACGTCCGCAATTGCTGATCCAACTTTGAAACTTTCGCTCGTACCTCTCGTGCCATGATATTTTATTTTCTGACCGCTGAGAATTTTTTATTACTTACAACGCGACAATTTTGCTTTGGGAGGAATGCTACATTTATTTCCAAATTTTGTCATTGTCGTCCGTCAGCATGTCTTAACCTCGAGAACGGAATTATATGAAATCCGAGACCAGATGTGAAAACTTTAGAGACAGGAAGCACCAATTAACTATATATGATCTTCCGATTCAAACTGAAAGTCTTGTTTTTTTCAATTCAAAACGTCAGTTAACAGATGACCTATTATTAAACAAACTTTAAACTTAATATAGATTCGCTATTCAATAGAATCTACATTTGCAATTCGGAAAAAAAAAGAACAAAAACTATTCTTAAAAAGTAATTTGCGAATTTCTTTCATTTTCGACTCTTACGATTCCGAGCCTTTCGACGGAAAAATCAACATAAACTGTGATCGACAGCGATAATAAGCCATAGCTATAATAAATGATTGGCCGAACTGGTTAAGGCCTCAGACAATTGCTTTGGAATCGATTTCAGACAAGCAACTTCCGAGGAATATTTATGGGTATTCTATGCCGGATGTGGCGGGTCCCCTTTTCACCATCCGTACTGTGGGCGTAGCTGAACCCACAACAGTATAAATAAATAAGCGGCCGGATGGTCTAGCGGTCAAGGAGGCAGCCTACCGCTCTGGGGGACCCGGGTTCGAATCCGAACGGGTCGAAAAATCTCCAGGAATTTTTCGGGGGTGGTCCGTTCGGATATGTCGGGCACCGTCCCTCACCACCCGGCAGCCCCATTGTGGGCCTGGTCGAACTCATAATGGGCTTGCAAAAAGAGGCTATCTTAGTGCCGACAGGGAGGAAAGAGTTAAAAAAAAAAAGTATAAATAAAAATCCCTCTTAAATAAATGTTAATAATATTTTATATATTAAATTTTAAAAATATTTATAACAATTTACTAAATAAATAAATTTCTACGTTTTTATGTTAAATATAGAAATGAACTAAAATAAAAATAAAGAATTGTTATTTTTTATTTCAATTTCAAAAGTGGCAACACTGATTCGTGTTGTTATGTTTCTAGTTTTAAATTCTAGTATTACGAACGTTGGCGTGTGTAGTGTTTATATCGTATTTTGCTAGTTTAATTTTATATGTGAATATAATTATTCGAATTTTAATCAGTTTCGTCACAGATAATGTTTTGAATCATTTGAAATTTATATTTGTTTACAGTTTAATATTTATAGATGATTTATGCATGCCTTTGTTTATTGAAGTAACATATAAAGGTGATTTTACACTTCAATGTTGGTAAATATATATTATATTTTTTCCATTCGATGATGTACATTTTTTACATTTTATTGAAATTAACTGATACTTTTTGATTACATTTGATCATTTTGATGTCAGGAAAATTTTTCAGTTTGGCAATTATAAAAGTAATATTAACATATTAAAAAACATGCTTTCATTGGTTGGAGATTGGGATGGAGCAGAATCTCTCATCAGAAGCAATGCATCTGCCTTACAGCCCCGATATGTCACTTTGCAACTAATGTTTGTGGATTTTAAAAAAAATTTTCAAAAATTCCAAATTACATTGTGACAGTAAAGTCCAAATAACTTTAACTGAATGGTTTGTGCGGCAGCCTTCCTCTTTCTAAATGGTAGGTGTATGCAAACTTGTATTGTGGGGCATGTTCCAAGGCAAGAGATGATTTCCTGTGGCGGCTAATGCAATTTTATTATTATGCTATATATATATACTGTAATCCTGCCGTGGTGACCGGTGACGTAATATATTTTATAAGGCTATGTTTCATTTGAACAATCCTTATATTTAATATTGTGAATGATTAGAAATTAATTGATGTAATTAGATTGATCAATGAATAAAAAAAAAAATAGCTATATAATATAGGTTTTGACAATATTGAAACATTTGAAATTTATCTAATTAGTTTCAAAAAGTAGAAATTACTTGCTAATATTAATAAAATATATTTGATTATTTTTAATCGTAATTAATTTATATTTTATATTGTGTATTTGAAGGTGAAAATGCAAGTCTTTATTAGAGTACTCTTCTTGTGTAATGTAAATGTAATATCCATTTAATTTTAAAATATTTTATTCTGTCGATTATTAAAATAATTGTACTTTTGCAGAGCAGCTGAAGACGAATAATGAAGAGAGATCTATTTTAACGTTTTATTTATGAGGTAATATTATTTTAAAATATAATATTTCATTAAAATATATTTACTATATGGATATTATAATCATATTTATTCAACTTTTATACAGTGTATAACATTTTGAAAAATGTCCGATACCGAACCAATTTTTANGAAAAAAAAAATATCGTAAATTTTAATTTAAATAAATAAATTTCTTAGAAATTGATTCAAAGAAAACTTTTGCAAATTAAGATAATATACTCGAGAGGAATAATTTTAATCTACTTTATATGCTGCTCTACTTATCGAGTGTAGATTACAAACAGTTTAATGCACGTTTTCGGATTTTGATCTCGTAAATCTTGAACTAAATAATACTCTTCGCAGAATGTGAGTAAGTCTACTAACAGATATTTGCAATCCCGTTAATTTTATTACGGAGCAAGGAATAATTACGAATGCTTAGTACAATTGTTATATACAGTATATAAGTTCAACGGTTCTGCATTGTGTGTGATAATAACAAGCGGCAATTAGCGCATTAAATAATTAATTTGAATGATTAGAGAGGGGCGAGAGAAAGAGAGAGTTGGGATCTACAAAAGTCTCATTAGTGAACTGAATAGAATACAAAAAAATTAAATATATTTTTTTAAAGTATGAAAATATACAGAACAAATTACAAAATAAGTTATTTATTATGTACAACAGACATAAAAATATTATCAGTTTTAATGATATTGTCCTGAAAATATAGCGATTAAAGGCTGATTCATGCTATATGTTTAGCATAGCACATTAATGGAACAGCCAGCAAAATATTTAGCTGCTTGTTACTGGTGTAAACTGATTGGTAACAGTGAATAGAATAGCAAATGAGGAAACACAAAAATTTTTGAATAAAGTACTCACTGTTACTTTTCTTTTGCTATAATTTTTGAAATATTGTTTTTTTAATATTTTATTATCATAATTTTTTATTTTTTGATTATAGATACTTTCATCTTCTACAATAAATTCTATTAACTTTATCTGTTATGTTTTATAAATGCTTTTTCAGAATAAAGTTTCTGATTTGTTGCTGGATTAGTTGTGTATGTCCATTATACAGATCTTATTGATTGCTATATTGGTGACAAAATTGTTATCCTGTTAGCTTCTGGATGTTAATTGTTTTGCAGTATTGCAGCAGTAGACTTTATGGCTATTCCATCCGACAATAAAATTTATTGACTGACAACGCATGTTGCTCTAGCAAAGTCACAATGCTATAATGAAACATACTATGCTGGACATAAATGTTTAGTGTAAATCAGATTTAAATGTGGATTTTACTCATTAAACCTTTTTCTTTCATCTGTTAAATTTTCAATATAATTGAAACTTGCCACTATCATAATTAAGCAACTTTTGAAGAATTTATTTATAATTTTATAATGGAAAATATATTTTATAGGAATGTTTCTTGTATAACATTGGATGATGATGAAATTTCTGAAATGGATACATCTTTGATAAAGCCTAAAGAGGTATATAGATATTGTTTTTAATTCTTTTTAAAAAAATTAAATATATTAATATAATAACTGCCAATTTTGATACAGCTAAAACACAGTATCAATAAGTTTTTAATACACACTGTTGCATGTATATAATGAGAATTCAAAAATGTAATGAGGATTCATTTAAATGTAAAAAATAGGGATTGAGGGATTTTTGATATACAGAGGGGTTAAAGAGATAATGTTCATGCTCTCTGATGTGACTGAGCATGCCTAACAGAAAATTTAGGCCTATGGGTCAAAAATAAAAACAGTGTTGCGTGCACATAATGGAAAATAGGCACAAAAAATGAACAAAACAATCACCATCAATTGCTTTGTTCTTGGATTGCCTCTCCATGTTGGCAAGTGCAAGGATTGTCTCTCCATACCTGGTCAGTGCAAGGATCATGACTCTGGTGGCCAGCAGGTATAAGGATCCCTTCTGTGCCTAACAAGTATAGGGATTGCTTTTTTTTCCAGCTTCACCTCAATTCTATTGTGATATGACAAAGTTACATGATGTCCCAGTAATATTTGTATGTTTGTACTGTCTTCTTCTTCTTATCCATTTAGTCATGTCTGACTCTCGGTCACTCTATGGATCAAAGCTCTCCATGCCTCTCTATCCTGCATGGAGAGCTTTGATCCATAGAATGTATTTTACGGTATATTCTATATAAGTTTGTTTTTTAATTTATTTACAATATTATTTCAAAATTATTCAATTTATTTGATTAAATTTAAGATACAGGTTGCTTAATTAATAATACTTTTTCATTTAAAAAGTTTTTTGTTGAACATCAATTTTCTATCATTCTGTAAGAAATTTACTGTAAGTTTTAAAAAGTATGGGTTTAAAAGCCAATTTTAAAGCAAGTGTGGGCTACCTGCTGGTTTTAAGTTGTAATTAAAAATTATCAAAGGCTTTTCCTTTGTCTAAACTTGCCAAGAGCATCTTTAGGAAACAAAAATCATTTGTGTGATGAAGACACATTTATTCACCATTGTGATTTTTCTCAAAACCACAAAGATGCATATATTTATGCTTCACTTTTAATTCTCTCCCATTCATTTTCTGTTTATTAATTCATGCTTTAATTGATATTAGATACTATTACTTTAATCTGTACCTTAAAGGCTGATAAGTTTGCAGTAATAATTCTATCAGAAAACTATTTAGAAAACAACTTCAATTTTATTGTATACTAATTCTTACAGCAAATAAAGCTTTAATTCTGTTTACAGAAAAGTACTAAGGAAAAATAATGTAGAAACAGAAAAGTTTTGTTATCATAGTATAGAGATAATTAAGAAAATTGGCTTAAAAATGTTTAATTTTTCTCTTATCATATCAGAAATAAAAATTTGATAGTCAGCAGAAAGCAAGACTGGTTGTGATGTTGATTGACCAACATTACAGATACAAAGAAATAGTAAATATATTGCTATGTTAGAAAATTTTTAGATATTAATTGGTGTTTGAATTTTAAAAAAAATGTATAAAAAGGAAGTAAATTAAGTGTGAAATATTATTAATTTGAATAATTTATTGCTACACTATCATTTATCTAGAAATTCTGTCATCATTCCATTGACATCAACTGTAGATATCATTTGAATTTCTGTAACCCACGAAAGAAACATTTTTACATTTTATGAAAACAAAATCAACGTATAAACAGAATTTTTCTTTGTTTACTGTTTGTTTTTAATTGTTTTTACACAAGTGAGATTTAGGCTTAACAAGTAAGCAGCTGACTCTCAAGTCTGTGTCATTGGATATTATTAACATTAAAATATTTTTTATGTAATTATTTTCACATTATTATAGTACTTATTTTGTTAGACTCAAAAATTCATAAGTTACACAATCTATATCACCATACAGAAATAAGTAATTTTTGGAATGCACAATTTTACTCTTTTTGGAATTTGAATCACAAATTGACATTGTTTGCACATTTATATTTTCAAATGACATTATCAAAAAATCATGTATTTACTGTTTGTACTCATGATTTATGTTCACACTGTAAGGGCCAATAAATTAATTACTAATGAATATAAAATTAGCCAATAAGTAACAAATATTGTAATTTAAATATTATCATTTATATCATTTCTAGTTAATGGAATAGTTAATTTATATCATTTCTAGTTATGTTGAAATTGCACAAAATTTTAAAATATTTTAAAATAAAATTAAAATATAAAGAATTTTGATTTTGGTTAAGAATTAATATTTTATTAAGTTTCAATTAATTAAAATTTTTAATATGATCAATTTTAATTAATTTTGATAAACTTTTATAAGTTATTTGTATTCTTAAATAATGAAGTGAAATTTAATTAAAATTATTGCATATAATTTTCAGAATATCACATCTATTGATTTTAAGCAACAGATTGGAATAAAAAAATATATTAATGTTATTTTGAGTAATTATATAAAATATTATATAATTTACATCAGTAAAATTATGATCAGAAACTTTAAAATTATCTATTTTTCTTCAAATGTCACTTGAATGAAAACTGAAATACAAAACTTATAATTTAATAAATTAAAATTGTAATTATAATTTATTTTGAACTTTTTGATTTTTAAAATTATTGTAAATTTGACATTTTCTTATTCTAGAAGAATAATTTTGAAACTCATATTGCAAATGAAGATTTTAAAAATGAAGAAAAAAAGGATAAGCAAAGCGATAGTGAAAGTGATAGTGATATGTCTTTACCAGCCATTGAGTGTGAAATTCAGTTAAGTTCAAAAGCAGAGAAGGTATGTTATGTAAGTTTTTAATAGTATATTATTCAATTAGTTTATAATTTAATTATTTTACATTTTATATGAAATTTAGAACTGTATTATAAAATTTATATATATTGATTAATTCATTTATATATACAGCAAAATATATTGATTTCATATACAGGGTGTATCAGAATGACGTTTTAAGAATTTGGGAAATCGTAGAGGATGAAATTTTGAACGTTTTGATATAAACAACCCATAGCCAGAAATGTGATATAAAATTTCTACATCGGTAGGAAGTGCTTGACCGCCCTTCACTTTGATAGTTACCCTACCGTCCATTGATGTCATGTTATTGTTCTTGACTTCTTTCTCTGGGATTATGTAAAGTCCCTTGTGTATGCAACAACCATAGGAACAGTTCATGAGCTTATGAAGCACATCTTTACAGCATTTAATACCATCAGAGGGGAGTGTGGCACAGAGAGTCGGACAAAGCATGGTTCATCATTGCACATTATGTAATGAAGTTGGTGGTCGTCACATTGAACATTTACTCTAAAGTAGTGCAGCCACTGATTCGATGTACAGTTTGATTGTACTCTACTGTTTTATCAATAGAACTTGTCATAAATACTGTATTCTGCTGTTTCATTCAGCATAACGACTGCAAAGTGCTGTAGAAACTTTATATCATATTTCTGGCTATGGGTCCCTTATATCAAAACATTCAAAATTTCATCTTCTACAATCCCCAAATTTTTAAATCGTCATTCTGATACACCCTGTATAATCATATAGAATTAATATATATTATTTTTAGATTATTATGGTATTTATTTTGTTAGACTCAAAAATTCATAAATTACATGATCTATATCCCATCATACAGAAATGAGTAATTTTCAGAATGCGCAATTTCATATATACAGTAGAGCATCGATTATCCGAATGTCGATCAACCAAAACATCAATTAACCGAAAGCTTTCCAGTCAGCAAATTTAAATTTTTGCTAGTGCTGTGGCGCTGTAATCTTTGGCTGTCTTGGGCTACTTCAATATTATTTTTGTTGGTGTGCATGTTTTAGCTGGCAGCACTGGCGTGACCATGAAAGGGTACTTAAGGACGTGCCAGGATTTGAACGAATTTCAACATGGGATAGGTTAATATATTTTTTCATACATAATCGGTTATCCGAAAAATTGATTTTCTGAACAACCCTAGTCCCCAATTGATTCGGATAATCGATGCTCTACTGTATTCATATATAATCAATATATATATTGATTATATATGAATATATATGAAATCAATATATTTTGCTGTATATATAAATGAATTAATCAATATATATAAATTTTATAATACAGTTCTAAATTTCATATAAAATGTAAAATAATTAAATTATAAACTAATTGAATAATATACTATTAAAAACTTACATAACATACCTTCTCTGCTTTTGAACTTAACTGAATTTCACACTCAATGGCTGGTAAAGACATATCACTATCACTTTCACTATCGCTTTGCTTATCCTTTTTTTCTTCATTTTTAAAATCTTCATTTGCAATATGAGTTTCAAAATTATTCTTCTAGAATAAGAAAATGTCAAATTTACAATAATTTTAAAAATCAAAAAGTTCAAAATAAATTATAATTACAATTTTAATTTATTAAATTATAAGTTTTGTATTTCAGTTTTCATTCAAGTGACATTTGAAGAAAAATAGATAATTTTAAAGTTTCTGATCATAATTTTACTGATGTAAATTATATAATATTTTATATAATTACTCAAAATAACATTAATATATTTTTTTATTCCAATCTGTTGCTTAAAATCAATAGATGTGATATTCTGAAAATTATATGCAATAATTTTAATTAAATTTCACTTCATTATTTAAGAATACAAATAACTTATAAAAGTTTATCAAAATTAATTAAAATTGATCATATTAAAAATTTTAATTAATTGAAACTTAATAAAATATTAATTCTTAACCAAAATCAAAATTCTTTATATTTTAATTTTATTTTAAAATATTTTAAAATTTTGTGCAATTTCAACATAACTAGAAATGATATAAATTAACTATTCCATTAACTAGAAATGATATAAATGATAATATTTAAATTACAATATTTGTTACTTATTGGCTAATTTTATATTCATTAGTAATTAATTTATTGGCCCTTACAGTGTGAACATAAATCATGAGTACAAACAGTAAATACATGATTTTTTGATAATGTCATTTGAAAATATAAATGTGCAAACAATGTCAATTTGTGATTCAAATTCCAAAAAGAGTAAAATTGTGCATTCCAAAAATTACTTATTTCTGTATGGTGATATAGATTGTGTAACTTATGAATTTTTGAGTCTAACAAAATAAGTACTATAATAATGTGAAAATAATTACATAAAAAATATTTTAATGTTAATAATATCCAATGACATAGACTTGAGAGTCAGCTGCTTACTTGTTAAGCCTAAATCTCACTTGTGTAAAAACAATTAAAAACAAACAGTACACACATGTCATCTCAAATTTGCAATAAATTTTAGAATATTGAAATTTTCAAATTATTTTGTGCTTTTTGTCAGGTTTAATCTGATGTAAAGTGATAGGGAAAGGAAGAAAAAAATTGCACTAACTTTTCTATCAACCAGGTATTATTGTTGCTGCTTTCAGACTTTAGCCCTTAAGACTGTCACTGTGTTTTCTTTTTATAGATTAATCTTTATATTTAGTAAAGTTTATTTAAGCATTTTTAGGTAAGTGTTATTAAACTTTTTTTTAACTGTAGGTATTATTTCATTCATAAAAATGATGAATAAAACAATGGATGAACACAGCAGATGAATAAAACAAATATGGAAATGCTGCTGATTGGTACTTGAACAATTTGGTATTCAAACACAAATTCTGGAAAAAAGTCAGTACTTGACTGAACAAACATGACCCACTAGAACAACTTTTTGATTAATAACATATTTTTATTTCGTCATCCATAAAAATAAAAAATATGAAAATGTTGCTGATACTTCTGATCAACATCAACAAAAAAGTTGAGATGACAATGATACTTTGTAAAAAGAAAATTCCCTTGTTTAATTAAAATTCATATGAATGCACAATACAGTACTTTTATTTATGACTGTTAATTAATTATTGATTGGAAATAAAGCATTGATTGCNTTTTTTTATTTTGTACAAACAAAATAAATATATTGAAAAATATAAAAACAATAAAAAATTATACTTCAGAAGTTAATTTAGTATCAAAAACGTAAAATATTTGAGTAGCCCAAGACATAGCCGAAGATTGAAGCGCCACAGCAGTGGCGAAAATTTAAATTTGCCCAGTGGAATTCTTTCGGAAAACCGACGCTCTACTGTATATAATTTACATACATTTATATGTTTATCATCAGAATTAACATATGAATAATTCAATACTTAAAAAAGATCATTTTAAAACTGTATAGTTTTTATAATTTTCTATACAATTATGGTGTTAATTTTATATATTCAGAATTACACATTTTATGCTATTTGTTTATTAATTTTTTATTTTATTTTTCTCTAAAAATTAATTTTTTTTAACTATATCAATTGTAATGTATGAGAAAATGATATATGCTTATTTATTTAAAAATTTAATGCATTTTAACAGGATACTTCTGAAAATGAAAATGATGATATGAATGTAATATGTAAGAATTTGCAAAAAGGTTCTAAAACACAACAGAAAAAATTTGAAAAAGAACAACAAAAACTTTTAAAAGAAATTGAAAAAGAAATAAGATCCTATTCTAAACCAGATATGGCTTTAAAGGTATGAAAATTCTGTATAATTACTATTGTAAACTTTAAATTATAGTCAATTGAACTTATTTTCTTTTCTACATTTATATTTTTTTTAAACAAAATTAACAAAAATGAAGCATGTTATAATTTTACAGTTAATCAAATACATTAGGCCAGGAACACATATGCATAAAAATGTGTGGCAGAAAACTGAATCAGAAATCAGCCTTCAGTTCAGTTTCTGTTTTACGCTTTTAAGCAGGGACACACATACGTAAAAATTTTGGCCAAATAGGAAACGGAAATGTAACAACGTCATATGTAGTTTAGCAAAATGGCACCGTTGGTATCTGATGTTGTTATTTGTTGGTGGCTGTATTCTACTCAATCATTGATGATTTTAAGAAATGATTTTATTAAAAAACACCAAAAAAGAAGCTGGTGGGTTAGAAAGCTATTTCGAGAGTGTGATTTACATGGATTTAATAATTCGTTGATTCCGGAACTACAATTTAATGATGGTGAATACTATATACAGTAAGTGAGTTGTATTTTTCTACATATCGTTTTTGAGGTTATTTCAAAATAATAAATTTTAAAATCTTCAGATTTCTGAGAATGTCACCAGAATTATTCGAATATTTGCTGTCAAAAATAGAGAGAAATATAACTAAGAAAAATACATGATGGAGAGAAGCAATATCTGCTAGAGACAGATTAGCTGTAACATTATGGTTTGTTAATCTTTCATACTTTGTAAAATTAGTTAGGTCTTTAGTATACTTTTATCATAAAACATAATTTTTTAGATTTCTTGCTATGGGTGAGACATTTTGAAGCCTAAGTTTCTTATTTAGAATAGGACGATTGATAATTGCTAAAATAATCAAAGAAACTACGAAGGTATAAATTAAAATTGTTATTAAATTTGAATAGCAATTAACTTATAAATTGCTATTATTTTTATTATAGGTTATTTGGAACAATTTAAAGAATGATTACATGAAAATGCCAGATACTGAAAATGAATGGAAAGCAATTGCTAAAGGCTTTGAATCTCGTTGGCAGCTACCACATTGTTGCGGGAGCATTGATGGCAAGCATATACTAGTTTAATGCCCAAAAAAACAGCGGAAGCTTAAATTATAATTATAAAGGATCATTTAGCAAAATTTTATTAGCTATGACTGATTATGAATACAAATTTATTTCAGTCGAGTTTTGTTTCACGGGTGGTGAAAATGATGGTGGGATTTTTCAAAGAAGTTCTTTTGCAAAAAAGCCTTTAGAAGAAAAATTAAATCTTCCAAATGAAAATAAATTATTAAATTCTAATAAAGTATTCCCATATTTCTTTGTTGGAGATGAAGCTTTTCCTCTTAAAAAGAATTTAATGAGACCTTATCCAAGATACTCATTTAATGAGACCTTATCAGCTTTCACTCATCCCCAAAAAGTTTTTAACTATCGCCTTAGTAGAGCTCGAAGAATAGTAGAAAATGCTTTTGGAATTCTGTTGGTGTGCTTTAGAATTTTTAAAAGACCACTCAATTATAGTGAGAAAACAATAAGAAAAATAGTTGCTGCTGTCCTTATTTTACACAATTTTTTATTGACAGAAAATGCAAGTATTTACAATCCCCCAGGCTTCTCTGATTATAATGATAATAATTTTAATTTTCAACCAGGTTTATGGTGCCAAGATGGNTTTAAAGCAGAAAAATGTGTTAGTTATGTATCAAAAACTCTCGTTCAAACCTATGAATTCATATACGTTCACAGTTACGAAAAGTAGATTTTCTTGTGTATTTTCAGAAAAACTTAATTGTCTTTTGGATTTCTTCTTTTGTTTTGATGGGGTTATCAATATTTTCAATATCTATAGTAAAGAATAACATTTCTCTCGACGAAAATATATTACTTGCGTACCAATGTTTGGCTCCATTCGCATGGACACTTGGATTAAGTTGGGTTTGTTTGGCATGCATCAACGGACACGGAGGTGAGTAAAATTCACGACTAATGAATTACATTATGTAAAATATTTCTCTTGACCTTCAATGTCTAACATTAATAATTCAATGTTTTTTTTTGCATTGAATTGATCCCGTGAATCCAATTTTTTCAATCTTAATTTTAATGCTTCACAAAATAAATCAATGTTGTCAGGCTGTGACACAGAACCTAAAATTTAAAAAAATAACTTTTAAATCTGTCATTGTTTTGTACTATATTTTGCCTATATTCATAAATTTGAACTTACAACTCCTATCCAAAAAACTATTTATTGCACTTGACGTTGATGATAACGACAACAAAGCATTATTATACTAATCCTTTGTTATCCTGATTATCTGTATCTGGTTTCTTGTTTCTTTTTTGTTGTCAACCAAAAGGTTTACTCGAGTCACTGCTTTGATATGGTCTGAAACAAAATCTATGCATTAAAAATCTTATTCTTTTTCATCAAAATCATTATTATTCTTACTTAATTGTACTATTCGAGAGTACATGAAAATTTAAAAAGAAAAAGTTGTAAATGTGGGGTAGGAAACTGTAATGGATATTTATCATAGTTGGCAATTTGAACTATATTGTGTATGTATAAGCCCTACTGAAGAGGCCAGTGAACTGGTGAAATGCATTTGGGAATAAATGTGAAGTAATAAAAAGTGTTTTTCTCTCTACAAAAAACTGTTTTAATTTTTTAACCTTTTAATTCTAATTTTATTTCATTTTTAGTAAATGGTTTAGAGTTGAGAAACTTTTAGTCCTCATAAGTCAGAAAAGAAGAAACAGTACAATTAAATAAGATTGAAAAATTCTGACTCCATTGTTTTAAATAATTTATTTAAAACAATTTTTTTTATAATCATTATTATTATTTATTTATTTACAACTTACTGATCTGACTCAATTTCTTCATTAATTAATATTAACAATTTCTTCATCATTGGTCACTTGAGAAAAATTTACTGGTGATAATTGTGTTGACTCTGTGTCAACATAATTATCATTTTCAACAATTCTTGTTTCATTATTTATAGTATTAAAAGAAATAAACAAAATTACCACATATAAACAATTTATGATAAAATTAAGACAAAATATTTTTCAAATAATAACAAGTACTTATAGGTAATAACAACAACTATATATATATACACATATACAATATTAAGTTAATTAGATATAGATAATAACAAGATATTACGTATACAGATTAGGCATAGGTCTATCTACCCTAATAAAAACATTTGAAATCAGTTGTAAATGGTAAATGATATCGAGTTTGATTACATTTTACTATAATCACTACTTTAATATAATCAAGTGACCAACCAAATAATATAAAACCAGTATCCTTTGATAAATGTTTATTTTAATTAATGATGGTAAAGTGTCTTACAAGTAGATTCTGGTGAAGTAAATGTATTAATACTCACATTTCTGAGCAGCCAATATATCCTCCCAATATATTATCCATTAAAGGATATAATTTCCATTTTGGTTTATAAATGTCTGCACTACCACTGCCACTTACAATGCTACATCTTATTAATTTTTTCTCTCACATATACCAGTCTCTCTGCACTTTCCACTTTTTCTCCACTGCCTTTGCTATAATTTAGAAAATATAAATTAATAGACTTGTATTACGAATTGAAATAAAGAACGTGTGATCTAAATACTATATATTGATTCTACTAGACCTACCTGTTATTTGAAATTTAGCACCTATGGCCATCCATATACATTGTTTATACACAGTGTCTTTATAAGTGACACTTTCTTTGTCATAGAGGCACTGATGGGGTCGAACGGATTCGATGAAGTCCTCTATTTCATTAATTCCTTGTTTACTCGAGCACGATACAATTGTTGGGTTAACCCTTATTGCCACCATTACTAGAATGAAAACCATGTGCTTACTTTGACATCATAGAAAAGACCTCTTTATTGGAGGAATTTTGGCATAAAATTTTACAGCGTAAAAAAAGTAGAGACATGCTCTACTGAATTTTCAGTTACATTTCAGCCAAAATTTCAGAAAAATTTTTACGTTTTCTGTTTTATGCTAGATTTTAAGCCAAATTTTACTCATGTGTGTTCCTGACCTTACACCTGTAATTCACTTGGATTATATTTTTGAAAGGTGCATTAAAAAAAAATGAAAATAATTTGTGCAAATTAAGACGTTATCTTACAGAAATACATTAAAATTCATAAAAATTTGTTTCAGAAAAAACAGTTACCAATATAACAATTTTTTTACTTTTTTTATGCAGATAAATTAAATTTATATAGTTTTTTGATAATTAACATGAATAATATAAAATTAATTAAAATTTTAAGTTAAATCTAAATTACGGGTTTCCCTCGTATAACACAGTAGTTATGTTCCAAAAAAGTGCCATGTTATGTGAATCTGTACTATATGAAACAAAGGATTAATGCAAAACATAGGGTTAGGTTCCAGAAGTTAGCAAAAGAATACTATTATTTTTCGTTACTATGAGAAACATGTTTGTTAAAGCAATCAATGCTTTATTTCCAATCAATAATTAATTAACAGTCATAAATAAAAGTACTGTATTGTGCATTCATATGAATTTTAATTAAACAAGGGAATTTTCTTTTTACAAAGTATCATTGTCATCTCAACTTTTTTGTTGATGTTGATCAGAAGTATCAGCAACATTTTCATATTTTTTATTTTTATGGATGACGAAATAAAAATATGTTATTAATCAAAAAGTTGTTCTAGTGGGTCATGTTTGTTCAGTCAAGTACTGACTTTTTTCCAGAATTTGTGTTTGAATACCAAATTGTTCAAGTACCAATCAGCAGCATTTCCATATTTGTTTTATTCATCTGCTGTGTTCATCCATTGTTTTATTCATCATTTTTATGAATGAAATAATACCTACAGTTAAAAAAAAGTTTAATAACACTTACCTAAAAATGCTTAAATAAACTTTACTAAATATAAAGATTAATCTATAAAAAGAAAACACAGTGACAGTCTTAAGGGCTAAAGTCTGAAAGCAGCAACAATAATACCTGGTTGATAGAAAAGTTAGTGCAATTTTTTTCTTCCTTTCCCTATCACTTTACATCAGATTAAACCTGACAAAAAGCACAAAATAATTTGAAAATTTCAATATTCTAAAATTTATTGCAAATTTGAGATGACATGTGTGCTTACTTGAATAAAATAAAATATTGAATAACAAAGTTTACACTTAAGAGTTATGAAATTTTGTATGGAGGATTTCCCAAACTGTGTTAGAGTGAAAACAGAAGTCATGTTGTACTGGTTTCCCCAGTTTTGGGTATCCCCAATTTTGAAACCATGTTAGAGCAAAACCATATTGTAGAAGTATTGTGTTGTACAAGGGATACCTGTACTTTAAGAAATTACTTTCTAAAAAATTTAATTCAACTATACCATATGGATAATTTTATTACTTGTATATTATTGTTTAATCAAAGTGAGTGACAGTTCATTACTATAACTATCACTCATTGCAACTATTTTTACTTCTTGCAGTTAGTGATCAGTTTACTAAGCAAAGAATTTTTCAGTTAAAACCTAGTGTTTTTATTTAAACTAGATTATCATGTGTTTTGATCATCAGTGTTTTGACAAATTGGTATTTTCATGAAGTCTTCAATATGCTCAAAAGATGGTCATAAATATATTTTATAAATTTGTTTAAGCCAAATCACGTATTAAACACAATTAGAGTGGATGCATTTTAAACAAATTTATAAAAAAAATGAACAAAATTGGAAAAGTTTTCATCATATGAAACATCAAATTAACAAAGATTGCCTCACTTTAAAAATTTCAATGCAATTTCACTTTGAGCCTTTTTTGTTGCTTTTCAAATGTATAATAGATATTTAAATTTTCTTTGATGTTGCAACATATTGCAAGATTTAATTCTAATAGATTTCTTCTATCAGTGTTTAAAATTTTACAAAAAATATAATGTATTGTAATTTAAATATTAAATAAATGTATTAATAGCAAAAGCAGAAAAGGGCTCAAGTAGAAATGTGTTAACTTACTACAAAGTGGAGAAAAACTTTTTTGTGGGAATTAGTATTTTAGGTAATAAAACCTGCATTCTCATAGACCTGTTTGTTTTCATAATAAAACTGTTTGGAATATGCTCGCTCTTATTGAACACTGTTCAACAAAGATTAAATTAACAAGTAAATATATGCATAATCTGAATGGAATTTCAAGTAAACAATCTAAGTCTGGTCTGATGTACATTGAGTAATATAGATTGAACTCTAATTATATAATCAAAAGCAGATTTTGTTTCCATTAGTTAAAATTAACATTATTTGCATATTGTATTACATAGATACTGTCCATAAATTATGTAATACAATATGCAAATAATCATTACTATGCATTACAAGGGTGTTAAGTAGCCTGATGATTCACTTTGTAATGATGAAATGCCATTCTGGATTAACATAATCAATGTATATGCTAAATTATTATTTAGAGGCAGAATTCTGGAGTCAACCTTCTAAAATTCTATCGGTCAGAGTTGGGGACTTAGTCTACTGATTCCAAAGCCCTGGTTAAAATTATAGTTTATACAACAAAATTGTGTGAGAGTAATTTTTAATGACTAATATAAATAAAAATTTTCAATGAACATATATTGCTGAAAATACATTCTGTGAACCGATACATTCGAATAACCAATGATAGTAGAACATTGGTTATTCGAATCAATTGGGGACTGGGGTTGTTTGGAAAATCAATTTTTTGGATAACTGATTATGTACGAAAAAATATATTAACCTATCCCATATTGAAATTTGTTCAAATCCTGGCACATCCTTAAGTACCCTTTCATGGTCGCGCCAGTGCTGCCAGCTAAAACATGCACACCAACAAAAATAATATTGGAGTAGTCCAAGACGCAGCCAAAGATTGCAGCACCACAGCACCAGTGAAAATTTAAATTTGCTGACTGGAAAGCTTTTGGTTAATTGATGTTTTGGTTGATCAACATTCAGATAATTGATGCTCTACTGTACTAGGAATTCTTGTGTAAAAAGATATGAAAACAAACTTTTTGCTGTAAGTTGATACTAGTGTACTTAATTATTATGTGAATTTGTAGCATTATCTGTCAACCAGTTTATTTACAACCATTGGTTTAATTATTGAATTTAAAGTGTGCATTACAATTTTTAAAATGGACAAAAATATCAAACAAAGTGTTTGTCTTAAATTTTGTGTTGCCAACAAAATCTATTGTGCTGAGTCATTGAAAATGTTGCAGAAGGCCTACGGTGAGTCAACTTTACCCAAAAGACATGCATAAAAGTGGTACAAAGCATTTAAAGATGGCCGAGAAGTGGTGGAAGACATGCCTCATTCTGGTCGACCTTCAATATCTTCAATCGATGAAAATATTGACAAAGTGAAAGAAATGGTGATGAAAAATTGTCATTCTAGCTTGAGAGAAATGGCTTAGAATCTGAACATGTCTCATGAATCTGTTTGCACCATTTTAGTTGATGTTTTGGGTATGAGAAATCTCGCAACATGACTTTTTCTGAAGGAGCTGAATTTTCTTCAAAAAGAGCACTGGAAAAAGGTTACTGAAGACATGCTTGAATGAGTCAATTTGGATCCTACATTCATGAAACACATTATAATAGGCTGACGAGACGTGGGTTTATGAGTTTGACATGCAAACCAGCCAAAAAGCTTCAGAATGGCACTTTCAGAATGAGCCAAAACCAAAAAATCCATATCAAAGTTGCTCAAAAATTAAAGTAAACAGTTCACTGTTTTCTTTGACTGTCATGGTATTGTCCACTCGGAATTTCTTCTAGAGAAACAACAGTCAACAAACAATATTACCTGGGTGTTATGAGGCATTTGAGAGAGACTGTTTACCAGAAAAGGCTAGATTGTGGAAGAACAATTTTTGGACGTTGCACCACGATAACACACCATCGACCCTTGTAGGCAAATTTTTAACCAAAAACTCAATGAATGTCAGCTACAAAGCACTGTATTCACCAGATATGGCCCTGTGTGACTTTTTCCCTGCAACAAATTACCACTTTGTGGTAACTTGAGTTTGGGGTTTTGTTGAGACATAGGAGTAGATTGAAGAAATAAAGCAAAATTTGCAGAGGGAGCTGCAGGTCATATTGGAAAGTGCTTATAAGAAGTGTTTTTATGACTGGATTATTCATTGGCAGAAGTGTAATGCATCAACAAGGCCTATTTTGAATGTGACAAAATAAATTTGGATGATTAAACCAATATTTTATATTTTATTTAACAATTCTTGGTATTTATTTGACAGACTGTATGTATAGGGTTACTACAAAAGATTTATGTATAAATATTATTAGGTATTTGGAAATAGAAGTTTATTGTATAAATGAAAAGTTGGCTTAAATTTTTTCAATTTGAATTCTACTGTATTGAAAACTTCAAAAATTCAAAATATCATTTTTAACAGAAATTTTTGATGTTTTATTTTTAATTTTTAAATGAATTATCTTATTTTATAAATATAGATTTCCCTATATGTTTGATTCTCATTTAATTTTCATTTTTTAATATGATTAGAGAATTTAATATAATTTTAGACAGTTTTTAATATGATTATCTGATAAATTTTATAATTAAATAGTAATAATAATATTACAGATTGTATCTATGGAAATAGATAATGAAATTGAAGGATTATCAAATGTTAGTGAGTTATGGTCAGTATTACAAGAATCTGGAATCAAGTATAAAGTGGAAGATAATGCAATAAAATCCAGTATTCTTTGGTTCAGAGACGTTATTGGCCATAAAATTTCAGCAGAAGGAAAGGTTTGTTTTAATTTACTGAAATACACAATATGAATATAAATTATTATACAACCTTTAATGTAAGTTTAAAAGTAAATAAATGAGATACAAAATATATTAAATAACTAATAATGTTTAAGGATATTTCATATTTGAATAATTGATAGCACTTATTTCTAGAAGAATTTCAATTATTGATACATCAACAGTTTAAATGTCTTTGTATATTGGTTTATTGATATTATTAATATATTTTCTGATTAAAGTTCAATATACAAGTGTGTGATTTCTTGAAATAGATATTAATTTATATCTATTTCAAGAAATCGCACACTTGTATATTGAAAATATATTAATAATATCAGTAAACCAATATACTCAATTTTGTTATTGAGTATAATTTGTATTAGTATATCCTGATGAGTTTTTCATATTGTATTGATGAAAGGAAATTTCATTTTTCTGTATTGCTTGTTCTTGCTAGTTAATACCATTGGATTTTTGTAATTTTGTACTAGGGTTTCTCATTTCCTGGTCTTTTTCTTGTCTCAGGATTTTGGGAAAAAGTGAACTGTTTCCTGGAACCCTGGGAAATCTCAGGATAGAATTAATTATCTTTAAGATATACAAAATATCTTGAAATCAAATGATATAATTATTTTTCATTTTATAAAGTAATTTAATACGTTCTGCAACTTCCAAAATCATATTAATAATGCTGTGTAAAGTATATATTAAAAATTACCTTTGAATTACGTAGAAATTTTCACAAATAGAAAAAAATTATTAAGTTTGCTGGAAACTGCATACAACAATAACAAATGCTTTGAATTGAGTTGAAAATTTAAAGCAAAAAATGAACTTAGTTCAAACTTCTAACTTAAAGGGTAATTTTCGTTTTTTTTTTAAATAAAACATAATACAAAATATCATTGTAAATTTTTATAATAGGATTTTAAAAAGCAAAGATGGTCAATACTCCAATCACTCGATCTGGTTCTTATTTTACTAATGAAAAGTCCTGCTACCAAGAATGCCCTTTCCGATTCAATTCATGTGAGTGGAATCGTCTTTAATGCATTTAAGAGAAGACGGATGTTGTGCCGTCTTTAGAAGCAGTGGAAGCGCCGCTTCCCTCGTATTTTCTAAAAAATAAATACATATTAATTTTAATTATACGAAAATAATCGCGCAATATTTTATTATAACCGCATTGCGTATCTTATTACAAATTTCTAACTACACGTGAAAAAAAAAATAAGATTGCTATTGTATATTCGAATATTAGTGGCGGAGTGGAATCTCTGTATTGTCAGATTCCAAAAAGCNAACCTGGCGTTATGCAGTTATTGAAGCTACTGGGAAAATTAAATTTAAAGACAGCATAAAAACAATTATTCCAGATATTACAGGTTCTGACAAGTAAAGAATTTTCAGAGTCCTGCCACAAATAAGCTACATATTGATTATTGACCATTTGTGACATGCCATAATGAGCAAAAATTTAAAAAAACTAATAAGTAAAAAATTAATAGATACAAATGTATTCTGACAGTTTATGAGTTAATTATACTTTCTATTTGCAAAATTTTCTCAACCTTAACACAAAATAAGAAAAAAGTTAACTTTTAAGAAATTTGCGGGATTTTTCCTGAGTTAGAAATACAACCGGGATCCCATTTGAGAAACCCTATTTTGTACATATTTAATATAATTTATTATTGTTTTATCATTTACTGATGTTTTAACTTAAGTTAAGAAAGTATGAAATCTTTGTTTTATTATTATTATTGTTTATATTATAAAAATATTATTTACAAATTTAATGTTTAGGTAAATCGAACTGTGGAAAGAGTACCCGAGGAGCATTTGTTGATAGTATTTCCAACATCTCAGTTTATTGATATGGTTGCAGAAATGAAACAGGTTTATAATTTATTTTAATAATTATTTGAAATGGTTTATTTTGAAGTAGTAATAATTCCAATTCACATAATGAAAACAGATATTTTACTTAGAATTAAATTTACACATCTATTTTATTTAAGTTTTTTATTATGTGATTTAAAGGAAAGATATATTTCAAATTACACATAAAAGGCATAAAATTATATTGAGTTCTATAAATGCATTAGAAATACATTTAGGATTTCTGGTTTTATATTCAATCAAAATATCTTGAATTTCTAGCTATACTTTAAATACTTTTTATAATAATTAATTTCATCTATATTGATTATACAACATAATTCTTAGAAAACATTTAATGAAACTATAAGTATTTTTGTTTCAAATTGATAGCACCTACAGGTTGAATCTCTTTAATTAATTTGGCATTCTGTGGTCTGACAACTTCTATGACCCAGCATGGTTTGGACTTGCTACCAACTAGTTCGAGGATCTGTCATATGTCTACTTATCTGATTCAAGGAAATTAATTAAGAGAAAGCCAAAGTACCAGAAGCAAGCGACATTGCAACAGTGGTTGAAGAAAATTATTAATAACAGATTCAAAGACTCATTATAACATAGAAAATCTACTTTGCTTCACCTTCTCTGCTTCTTATGTTCACATATGTGATGAACATAGAGACCCAAATGACCTTGCATTTTTGAAGACAGTGTTGATCATGAAGAATCTACTGACTTCTATTGTAATCCCAGCTTCAGGAACTACAAGTATTTTTGGTTTTAGGCTTTATATTGCATGAATCAATAAAAGCTTTGTTTGGAAACATTAATGGTTTTATAATTTTCCTGAAGCTTGGTTCTGTCTTTGATAATTCTGCAATATGTATGAAATAAGCATCTTGTTACGTGTTTCTGTAGAGGTGTTAAAAGTCAATTTCTGTAATCTGGCATCTTCTTTAGTCCAACAATGGGCAGTTTAGGCTGCCAGATTAAGGAGGTTCAACCTGTATTAATGATTTGAAACTTTTGTAATGTTATATTGTCATTACAATACTTAGAAAATATTTCAGTAAGATATTGAGAACTGTTATATGTTGCTAATTTTGTTTGTCTAATAAATTAAACTCTAATTTTCTTTTGCACACAACAAAATCTGAATGATTTTATGCTGTAAGATGAATGTTGCTAAGTTTAATATTTTGATTACTGGTTTTTTATTTAAGTTGATTTGTTTTACAAAAGTTTCTTTAATTTTCATTCTTAGTAAACCATTATTAATGCTAAAATAAAAACTTTTTTTTATTATTAATAAGTTAACATTAACAGTTTTATTGTTTTTATTCAATAAAATTTTATTATTTAATGTCTTATATAATAAATATATAATATGTTTCAGCCATCAAATGTTAATATGAATAGTTTAATTTCATTAACAACTTATTATGAAACTATATATCCTGAGAAGAAAATAACTTATGTTGCTATTGGAATAGAAAAATATTTCAGGTAATTGTTTGAGCAATTGTTTTTTCTGATTCATCTAAAAATTTTTCTGTATTAATGTAATTACTTTGTTCTTTAGCTTGATAGACAAAATATTATTTTTGAAACATTTACTACAATACTACTAATAAAATTGTAAAATATTCACAATATATTACATTAAAAGTCAATCAAATTCCTTTATTTTCTGCTTGAAGATAACTAATAAGTATAAAAAACAAAGATATTATAAATAAAAGGTTTATTTTTCATTGAAGAAAACATCCGTATTTTAGTCTGTTATTGTGATATCTATTTTGAAAATTGTTTTAATTCATGATGATAATTTATATTCTGAAAGTACTAAAATAATTTATAACCATTTCTGTTTAATTTGGAACATAATTTACAAGAATGAAGATAACAAATATATAATAAATTATCATTTGATGGAACTTTATTTGTTTTAAATGTTGTCACAAAATATAAAACAATGTTTACTTATTAGTGGATAATTCCATATTAAAATTGTGGATCTTACTTTAAATATAATGGACTGATTCAGATTTAAACGTGTTGCAAATTTTACAGTTTTTAGCACATTTATATTATATTTATATTTAAAGTAAGATTAAAGAATTATATAGCATAGTAAAGTCTGATCCATTGGTTTAAACAAAGAGATGGATACAGACAAACTGCAAATAGATAGTACAGTAGAGCGTCGTTTATCCAAATCAATTGGGGACTGGGGTGGTTCGGATAACTTATTTTTCGGATAACGAATCATGTACGAAAAAATATATTAATTTATCCCATGTTGAAATTTCTCTCCGTTGCGTGTCGCTTCACGTTGAATTTTCGTCAATGTTAAGCCTAACGAAGACTTTGTATCGTTAAAAATTATTTTTTTATTTTGTACAAACAAAATAAATTTATTGAAAAATATAAAAACAATAAAAAATTATACTTCAGATGTTAATTTAGTATCAAAAACGTAAAATATTTGAGTAGCCCAAGAAATAGCCGAAGATTGCAGCGCCACAGCACTAGCGAAAATTTAAATTTGCCGACTGGAATGCTTTCGGATAACGGACATTTCGGATAACCAGCTTTCAGATAAACGACGCTCTACTGTATTCACTATCACAGACATGAATTGTAATAGAACATGTTTAAGGCAAAAACAAAAATTGTTTCTTCTTATCTGTTATTATAGCCTATTATTTTTGTTAATTCCTCCACAAATAAATTTGAGTTTCATGATGATAAAAAATGGTTGCAAAATACTGAATTGCAAATAGGCAAAGTGTGCAAATAATAAATTTGCAAGTATGGACTTCTACTGCATAATTTCAATAGAAACATCCTTCTTGTGCTACAGGAACACAATTAAACACAAGTGACATCAATATTTATATGCTCTTCTTGTCTAAAATTTATAACAATAAAAATTCAGGATGAAAATTTACTTAAAACAATACATAATTTGAAGACAAATGCAAAAGTTATTTAGAGTTTTTTTTTAATGCATTTTCAGTATAAAGACCCCAAATTGTTTTTGAACTGTATATATTTTTAAATTCAAGGGTCAGTCATTAAGTAACTACAAAACTGTGGAATGCATATTTATGAAGAAAAGGTGTAGCTTACTTGTCTAAGTGTCTAATACCCCCCTTCGCATGAGTGTGCTTATGTCAGTGGGATACAAATGCATGAATGCCAGGAATATAAAGTTCTTTTGGCTGGCTGCTGAGCCACTCATGCATCACAGACTGAACCTCCTTGTTAAAGTGGAAATGTTGATTCTGTAGAGTTTTTCAGTGCTCCAAAGAGATGGAAGTCACAGTGTGACAAGTCAGGAGTATGGAGGGTGTGGAAAGCCCTCAAACCACATACCTTGAAGCAACATGCTGGTTTCATTTACTATATGAGGCCTGAAAATTGTCTTGCAGGAAGTACATGCTCATGGAAAGAATACCTCGGTATTTCCTGTAGATAGTTGACCTTACTTGGTTTTAGAAATGTTCACAGTAGTTACTATTCATTGGGCAGGTAATGTTTCAGAACCCAAAAGGTCATAGAAAATAACTTTTCTATAGAAAATAACTTCTATGACCTTTTGGCCTCCCAGCTGTATGCTGCCTACTTTAATATAACAATTAACAGTCTGTTGAGGCAGTCACCGCCTGTTCCTCTGACAGTTACAGTTGTCACCGGCTCCTTAACCCATCACGTTCGTGCTATGCCTCCTACTTGGATTAACTTTGTTGCCAAACGGTCTTATTAAATTAATTTAATTAAATTAAGTATCTCTTATTTGGATTAACGTCGCCGAAATGGAATACTTAATTGCGTCCTAATAGGACTAACTTTGTTGCCGAAACTTGGGATAATCCTAGATTTCACATCTATTCCCAGGACAGGGAGACACATCTACTAGCAAATCAACCAAACTTCAGGTATTTATGTCTCCTGTAAACTCTCGTGACCACCTATGGTATACAGATTGGTTATTTTGACATAGTATGATGTATATATCATGTAATCCTTTTTTTTTCAAATAAATGGTTATTATTTGTTAAACTGGCATCCGAGTGATTTACTTCAGACTTGCCATCTCTCTGACCTCCTCCACACAACATACTGTCTCTCAGACCTCCTCCATCCCAAATCCAATTGCCTGTGCATGCTGCTGCTTGTGTGACCTAGCAGTAACCAAAAACAGCCCTAGTTGCTGTGCAGTCTTCTATCCTGACATAGTCATTGCTGAAGCAATGTTGACTCTTTGGTCAAGTGGTGTGGAAGCATAGGGGACACTTCGCATATCATCACAATAGGTTTGAAGTCTCATGCATATAAAAATCTCATCACAACATGCAATTCAACCTTTATGCAACACTCAAATGACGCAACTTTTTGGATGCTTGCTAATGAACAGCTATGTCATTTGGTAGCATCATACTAAGTTTTGTAGATATTAGATAGCATTGTTTTTTGTCATTGGGAATTATGAACTCTGCTGGTTTCATTCACAAATTATATCACTTTTGCAGTTACTTAATGACTGTAGTGTACCTTGTAAAGTTTTGTGCTAGAGTTTGATTGTTATACAGAAAAATTATTTTTATATGTAGTTTCATTATTCAGGCTGAAATTTTTTAAAAAACTGAATAATCAAAACTGTCTTGTAATTGCTTTTCTTTTGTAATTAGGTTAATTTTATTAACAATTTTTATTTTGCTAATCAGAAAATGTTAATCTGTATTGAAAATGATACATAAAACAAATTTCAGTTACATATGGCAACATATTAATAGTAATGATTTCAAAATGTAGCATATAATCAGAAACTACACAGATAAAAATTTTAAGTTCTATAATATATTCTGGTAAAAAAAAAATTGGAATATGAACTAGCAAATGTATAATAATATGATAAAAATTATTTATTAATGTGATTAGAACATACACATTTGTTTATTTCTATGAGATTACAATTTAATACACTTAATGTATTTTAATATTTTTATTTTTTACCTTTGTAAATTAAACAGTTTTAAATTAGTTTCAATCGATTTGCTTAATGATGATATCTGATTAAATACAGTTGATTGAATTAAGAATGAGCTGATTTTCATTCAACTTGCTCTTTGATACATAATAAGTACATACTGTTAAATCATTTTGTACACCAAATTTTTCAATTTCAGACATTTTCAGTTGACAGAAAAAGCTTTCATCTACTATATTGTGTTACTTTCAGCCAATTTTGGTTTCTGGTAACATCAAAATCATTCACAAAGATAATCTTTGTTGTCTGTTTTTTTGTTTAATGTATGCTTTTAACATCTTGAATAATGTTTTATACATTGTATTCATTTACTACTACAATAAGAGATTTTATAATATTTATTTTTATAATTTTGGGAACTCCTTTCATAACATGCAACTGTATTGTTTAACTTTTCGACATTAAATTTTTTCAAATGAAAATTTTAGGAATGTATTCTCTTTGAAAGTTGAATCATGCCATACTTTTTAAGTATTCAATGATAAAAATCTAGTTTGTTTAAACAAAATTTTAAATATTATATAAACAAATTTTTTAGTTTTCTCTTAGTGAAAAATTTTTATACTTTTTAATTTTATAAGTAATATAATAAAATTTATTAGCCATTACAAAATCATAATTCATTGTAATTACTAGTAAATAAAATTTATTATTAAAATTGTTGTTTAAATTTTATTTAGGGAATTGAAGAATAAACAAAACAGAAATTTTAGAGCTCAAATAAGAGGTGATAAATATCAACCTATCCCACAAAAACTTTCATTTTCTGATATTGGAGAGGTTAATAAATTTTCATTATGTAAACTTAAGTATAAAAAGTAATAAATTTTAATGATAGAAATTAATTTTTTAATATATTGAATAGCTTGAATTTGTAATCTTTTAACTGTTTTCAAAATTAAAAATAAGTTATTCCTGCTTAGAATTTTATGTTGTAAGTTATTAAGTGTTATATTTTAAAAATTAATTTTTATTCAACAGAAGTAAAGTTACAGGTGAAATATTTTTATGGAAAATAATGCAATAAAAGTAAATTATAGAATTTACTTTTATTGCATTATTTTTCATAAAAACATTCAAAGAAATTACATGTAATAAAAATTAAATAATCAGTTTTTAACAGCATTTATTTGCTGATTTGATCATCTCAGTTTAATCAAACATTATCAAGTATGTTAGAAATAAATCAAGTAGAATTTTAATGACATTTCAATTATATAATAATGGTTTTCAGTAATATTGAGTTTTTCATATTAGTGTATCTAATATATTTTAATTTAATCATAACTTTCAATATTGTCACAGACACAATGATACAACAAATGTAAAATACTATATTTATTTATATAAAAGTAAATAAATAAATGTAAATGTTTCATTAATTTGAAATTACTCTGCAGTCCTTGCAACAATAATAACTGAAATAAAATACTTGCAGCTATTCCTATAATTAAATCAATTTTTTTTATCAGTTTATCTGACAAATTAAATTTTTAAATTAATATAGGCATGTTCTAAAACAATAACATTTGTTTTAATTTATCTTGAATTCATTTGCTGAAATGATTAGTAAAACAGTTGAAATTAATGTATTTAGTTTTATAATAAATATGAATAACTGAAATTGTATATAAATCTTTGAGCTGAATATAAAGTAATTAATCTAATCCAGTGATTTCCTACTGGTTTGCTACAGCACACTGGTGCATCATGAAGCAATTCTGTGTTGTGAGATGAATTAAAGCATCGAATTTTAGAATTTGTAAAAGCATAGCAAAATGTGTTTCAGTATATTATTTATCAACTATATTTCAAAAGTTTGTACCAGTAAACTATTATAGAAAAAGTATTAAAGAGAGCTTTATTAGCAACATTTTGGCTGGTCCAGTGATATTTAATAATAAAATGTTCCGTAGATCCAAAAAAAAGTTGGGAACCATTGATTTAATCCATTTATCTTCTTTAAGTTAATTATATTACAATTGTTGGGCTAAATATTACATTTATGAATAGGAAAAATTATGTTGGAGCTTTTTTATTTTTGTAAATCTTTAATTAGTTTTTTTTTTAGAGTTTTATGTTATGGACAGGTTTTCATATATCATAGAATATATATCTAAAAATCTTTAAAAATAATATATAGTTTAAAAAATTCAAAATTTATTTGTAAATATGTCTCGAAGACACCTACATTATTATAGCAGAATAAAATCCCCGAACTTGATTTATTTTTATTACAATCTTGGTTTCAGAGTTAATATTTAAATTATTATCTTGTATTATAAATTCAGTTTTATTATATTTTAAATAATTTAATATTTAATTTTATACTTGATTTAGGCTGTGGTATGTCTGCAGATCCAGAAAAATATTACTCTTCATTTGATTGATTCAGTTAATGAGCTTGGGTTCTTTTTAGTTTCATTTAGCAAAGCAATAGCAGAAACTCCTTATAAGTAAGTTTATTTTCTTTTTTAATTTAAAATATTTAGTAAATAACATGGAACTTCAAGTCATAAAATTTATAAGTAATAAAATTTTTGGAAATGTATATTAAATTATAATTAAAAACCATATTTATCTGTCTTTAATTAATTAAATTCCTTATATATAAAAAAAATTAATTTATGTAATTTAAGTATTCATATCATTAAAATTTCAAAATACAATAAAAGTTAAAAATAACTGTGATTTCAAATTAATAGAAAATATTTGTATGAAATTTATATTTTACAGAAAATAAATTTTATTAATGATAACTGATAAAATTAAAGAAGAACAGTTACAGTTTCACACAAAAATGACTAAAAATTATACTTTTAGTCATTTTTACACAAGTCATGTAAGAACTATCACATGAAAACATATGAAAGATATAAAATATTTTTAATATGATAATTTTTGTATGACTGTCATTATTTTATACAAGATAATTTTCATGCATCTTAGAATGTAGTTAAGAATCTCTGATTTTTCTCAATTATTTCTCTTTATAACTATTTTAATTTTTTGCTGATTTTCAAATTTTGGCAGAACTATTTCTCTAAGTTCATGGAGCACCAGTATTCCACTGCTCTAGTGCAGTGTTCCCCAAAAGGGACAAAATTATTTGTGGTCAAAAGTAATTTTAAAGTGTAAAATTTCAATTGTAAACTGAGGAATTTTTGTATTTTTGAGCACTGTTTTTTCTTCATTTGAAGTTTAAAATATAGCAGAGAAGAGTGAGTGAATCATTCAAGTAGTTTTAAAATCATAGATTTTTAAAATGATTTTGCTAATTGAATGACCAATTATTTTATATTCAAATAACTCATCATTATAAATTATATATTTAAAAAAATTCTGTTAAGTGTTACATATCAACCCAGAAGTGCAGAGATATCAGCCCTGCTTTTTGATTATTATACTTTGAATAGCAGTTTTGGATTTATTTGGTTTCAATCTTAAAAAAATAAATATAAGGTCATAAATTAATGTTCTTGATATTTAATATTTTATTATATAGTAAGAGTTAATTTTATTTTTTAATAGAAGAGAAAGGCAGAATAAGTTTTCTTGGTATGCAGAAGGTGATACAAACAAATCTGTGAAAGTAGTCGATGATGCATCATTATCAAAACTTTGGAAACAACAGATCGAACAGTTTGCATTAGTAAGCAAAGACGTTTCGGAAGCAATTGTTGTTAAGTATCCAACTCCTCAAACACTGATACAGGTAATTTTTCTAAATAAGCTAAAAACAACATAAATTTATAATTTAAAAAAATTCATCTAAAAAAACAACAGGAAAAAATCAAAAGTTCTGTTAAAGAAATTTCAATTAATTGCTTACAATAACCATATTGATTGAAAACAATATAGTGCCTTACAAACCTTTTAACATTAGCTAACAAAGCTGGAAAGATGAGATTTGGTTTATTTGAATAACTCTGTTTTAATGATTAATATAACATTGAAAATTAAAACAATGATAATTTCATCTCTCATTTCCAAGAGGAAAATATCTATTGTGTTTTATGTAAGCATGGTCATTTGAAAGAATAATTTTCAAGGTTTTTTTAATTCACTGAGATTTTTATTTGTTAAAAACACTTGGTAAATTTTGCCTTATTGATGAGACTATGTCTTGTCTCTAAAATCGCGCTGCTGTCAACGGCTACACACCATAGTGGTATGAAGGAATACATGTCAGGAGCTGCAATTTGGCACAGAGTATTTGGTGCCCAAATCATGTGCACATAAAATAAATCAGACTTGTAGGAAGTCAGGGGACTGAGAACTGGGTCAAAATAAAATACAAAATGCTGAGACTGTTTCTACAAACAGGCAAGATTTGCACATGCATTACTCGTGTTCTCTGAGACATAGTCTCATCCCAAGAATGGCTTCACCGTTTTACTTGTTTGAAAATTAACCTCTTAACAAAATTGTTAATGATGTAATAAACTTTTTTTTTGTTATATCTGAACTTTTAAAAACTGCTCTAAAAAACAGTGTTAAATAAATGAATATATCACATTGATAAATTTCTATTAAATTCAAGTAAATACCTTTTTAGTGATAGAAAATATATTAGAAATGTAAACTTGTGTTCAAAATCTGTTAATTTTAAAAGATTATATTAACTTAATTCATCAAAAATATTTTAGTATGTTAAATATTTTTATTTCAACGAATATAGCAACTATTATTGATAGTTTTTCTTTCTACTTATTTTTAAAAAATTTTATATAAAATAACATTTTTCCATTTCTTCAGACTGCTATTCACTAACTGAGCATGTTAAATACCATATTTACTCACATATAAGATGACCTCGCATGTAGGATGAAGTGTGACTTTAAAGATCAAAATAAAAAAAATTAGATTTATTAATACAATTGTAATTTTATTTTGTTTAATCACAAGTAAAATATCAAATGAACGTAAATGCATACATTGTCCCGCAAAAATTACTAGCATTTTAAACTTTAAGAAAAAATCTTATAAAATTGACAGCATAATTTGTTCATGTAAAGCTGGACAATCAGAAACCCCTTTTTTTGTCAATTCTTAACAGTCGAATCAACTCTCTGTTGATTACACTTATGAGCTTCTCTGAATTCTGATTTCTGAATAATCATCTTTTTCACATTGGAATGGATTAAAACTTATATTGGGCTCCTGTGTGATTTTGGGATTTCAATCTGGAATTCAATTCAAAAGCTTTGCTTTTTCTATTGCTATTCATCTTTACTCTCGACAATATACAAGAACGATTCAAATGAAATTTTATAAAATACTTATGTTTTTAAATACAAGAGGGTAAGTATCTGGTAAAAAATGCGAATTCACAAAAATCATTTGCAAAAATGCAAAGAATCTTTCACTCGTGTATAGNAATTTTTTTATATATTTTAATTGTTTCTAAAGGTGAAAACAAGATTCCTAAAAATATGTAAATAAATAAAAAAAACTTGACTTCTAAAAAGCTAATTATTATGTTCTTTACTATTAAGGAGTTGCAAGAAATGTTGGAATTTTTTCTTAATGAAATTTATCAATTCATGATTAATTCTTTAAAAAATAAATTTTTATATAACATGAAGATCAAAGATATTTGTAACAATGCATATTAGCTGGCTTATCTTCATTTTTAGTAGTATTTTAATATATTTTTTATGTGCTTGTTTGTTTATAAGTTATAAGGTAGGAACATTAAAAAAATCCTGTATATACACATATATGCAATTGAAAATGTCTCTACAAAATAACAATATATATGAATGTGTATATATATACATATATATACACACACACACACATACACAAAAAAATTGCAGGTACTCTTTTATGTATTCAGTTTTAAAACTGAATGTTTTCTGCCCATTTATTACTGGCCAAAAAAAATTCCTCAAAATTAAAATTTGAGGATTTTGATTATATTGTGAAAAGATCATTTCTTAAATAAAGTTACCAAAATTTATAATTCAGAAAAAAGAAGTGAGGTCTGTTCCGTAGAATAATCTGTAGGAGATTTAATTAAATGACTATTGCCATTTCTTTCACTTTCTGAAGTGGGACTGCTTTTAGAAATGATAGGTAATGTGTGCATTTCTAAATTTTTTGAAGCACTTGATTCATTTGGTTCTTGTACTACATTAATTACTGATGCTTCACTTGCTGCTTCCAAATTTCCAGTACTGTTCACTCTGTGTGTATTGCATACCCGTTTTGTTAAACTATTACTTGATGATGTAAAATTTGGCGTATGAGATAAAGTTGCTACTTCAACACTGGCACGTCTAGATGGATTATCTTGAGTTGAATTACAAAGTCTAGAATTAAATATTGGCTCTGGAATGTTTAAATTTGGGCCAACAGTTAATTTTGCAGACTTCACTGGAAGATTTGATGAAGTATAAACTGAATTACACTGATCTGAATTATTAGAGACTTGTGGTTGAGAAATATTTAAATCATTTTCCCACGCATTCTGAAATGGATCTTCAAGAGTTGGATCAAAACGTTTTTGTCTTTCCATAAGTGTTGCACGAATTGCTGCCAAATATACTGATCGAGGAATTTTCATGCATAGCATATCTGACATTGCTGTCACTGTATAATCTGGATTAAAAAAGAATTTTGAATTTGGCATATCTGGACTATGAAGTATACTTGGAGTAGATCCTTGGGATTGTAGATTTGGTTCAACTAGAAAAGAAATGATTAAATATTCAATTAAAGATAAATTATAAAAAGCACAGAATTATAAAAATGTTTATAATATACTTTTAGAACTTCAATAATAAGAATACATGCAATATTAATGAAAAATTAGTTTTGTTTTAGTACAGGTAACCCCTGTATAACACGGGAGTTATGTTCCAAAAAATTGCCGTGTTATGTGAATCCGTGCTATACAAAACGAGTATGAAAAGGGGGGTTAGGTTCCAAAAATTAAAAAACATGCTATTATATTTTCATAATTAAGATAAATATCTTTATTAAAATTTTCTTAAGAAGTAATACATATTAATATAAATTAAACAATGTTTTCTTTTTTGCAAGATATCCTTATCCTCTGAGCATTTTTCTGCATTATCTTCAGATCCATGTTCTACCTTTTGCAAAAAATATGTTATTTTAGATTGCTTGCTTTTAGTTAAAAGATCTTTATAAATTTCCTTATATGGCACTTATGAAGAATAAAGCAAGTATGGAATAAGGGAAAAACATCTGGCCAAAAGCAGAAGCGTCGAGATCTGGCAACACAAACAAGTTTCGAGAAGGACCATGTGTATCGACAGAAGTGGGAAAAGAAAATTTACATACTTAAGTACTAATAGTTCACAAAAATTATGCAGGAAAATCTGATAGTACGTATGTGCTCGAATAAAAAATGTCAAATGAGGTATCTTTCACACGTTGTTTTATTACGTTTATTGTTGTACAGGGATTTCCCTAATTTCAAATTAGATAAAGTTCACTTTTAATAGTTTTTATTACTGTACATTTCATGTTATATGAGGGTTTTACCCAATTCTTGAACCGTGTTAGAGTAAATCCATGCTATAGAAGTGCCATGTTATATGAGGGTTACCTGTATATCATACATATTAAATCCACATATTAATAATATACATGTTAGTTTATATCATTTTATATTATCCTGCCATAATATCTGACTATATATTTATTTAAAATCTATATTAACTGAAAAATTACTAAGGTATTCTGTAATGTTACAATTCAATATTCAATCTTTATGGAGTAACCTTTGTTAAACAGAAAGAAACACAAGCAATTTATTTAAGGTAATCAAAATTGGATTCTATTGGAAATGTTTCCAACCTATGGCTTGGCTAGCATCAACAAAGTATGCACAACTAAAATAAAGAGTCTTCAAATAATAAATAAATTCCAAAATAAAGTAATAGAAATAAAAAGTATGTATGAAATACATATATTATAATATACAGTATATAATATACATAATATAATGAATATGACTGAAATCATATTATATATATTTCTTTGATGTATGTAAAACTTCGTTATTTCTTTTATTGGTTTTTAATGAACTGAATTGTTTTATTGGATTGAAAAGAATTATATCCTATAGAAATCATTTTTGCCTTAGATGCAATGATAGAATGTTTTTCCATATTCTGCCAACATAGTTTGATTCAAATATATATTATATTTCAAAAGATAGACATTCTTCATTCTTAGCAAATTCATGGCTTAATAGTTTTGATATCAAATGCACACAAATATTTTCCAGAAATACAGATTTCATAAGTAAAAATATCATTATTATCAATGCATGGCAATTTCACAATAAAGGTATGCCTATCATCAAGCATCAAAATCTATATTATCATGATATCATTCATAAATCAAATTCTTTTATTTTCTATTAAAAAATTTCACAGAAGAAATAAATAAATTAAACAAGGATCATTAATACAGATAAATAAAAAATACAGTGAAGTGCTGATAATCTGAAAAATTGATTAACTGAAATCAACTTCAGAGAGTAATTTTTCTAAAAATTACAAAGTTTTTATATAATAACAATTTCCAGTCATCTTCCATAGGCCTGATACTGAGTTATCTTCTTATCAATGCTAGTGTTAGCTTTTATTTATTAAATTACAAGTAGAAATACATCAAATGCTTCATTGTGCATAGGTATAGTGAAGCATTTGATGCTTTAGAAACAGCAGAGACATGGTTAGAAATGCAATCTGAAACAGATTTTTCTACTCTCATGACTATCAAGTAAGCTAGGGATTTAACAGCATTAAAAAAAACTATGTAATAAGTGACTTTTTTTTACAAAAAGAACTGTAATAAATAATTTTTATGTGAGTATTGTACTTACTATTGACTTAATATTAATTTTACTAACACATATTTTTTACCTTGAATTCAAAGTTTCATCAATGAATCGTAGATTGCAATAAAAGACTAATGCTTGTTTTTAATAAATTAGGCAATTTTTTNAAGGGCTAAAAGCAATTTTCTGCAATGTTACTAAGAAATATAAAAATTACAATTGTAATGTTTTTAAACATTAAAATTTAGGTTAGTGTTAGAATAAATGTAAGAAGTGACATACTATACAAAAAATACTACAGTAAAAATGAAAATAATAAGAATCATCATCGAACTAGAAGTTTCTTAGTTATAATTTTCTTGCAATATGTAGAAAACATTCTAGTATTGTAATTTGCTAGCATTGACACAATACCACATGCCAGTTTGAAATCTTATATAGCTTTGTCTCTCTAATCAGAAACTGCATAATAGCTCATTATTGTTAGAATGTATCCATGTTATACTTAACATAAAAAAGCAGCTTCTTGCTCTCTCCAACTGTGCTACGACAGCTGATCATCCCACATAATGCAGTATTTTTATCTGATAATTGTGATATAATTGGTCTTTCAAATCCACTTTTCATTTTAACAAAAGTTATCTAACAAATTTTTTGTTTAAGTCCAAAAGAAAGAGTTGACTCTATGAAAGATTTGAATATACTGTATATATATATTTTTCAACGTATTTTGTGACTTGTCTTATTTGATTGAGTTTTTTGATTTTCAATAAATTTAATGATGATTATTTTTGAATTTCATTAAATAAAATATAAATTGTTGTTAAAGAATCTTATGTAATTTTTGTAAAATTTATTATTTTTTTTCATGTAGGTTCGTAGAGGATTCGGTCCCCTGGCCACTTCTAGAAACGTTGGTCCCGAATTATCTCGAAAAATCTTCAGGTTTTTTACGGAAACCGACGAAAATGTATTATTGTGAAACGAAATTATAAATTAATTCCTTTTTTTATATTTTTTAATGATTATTAAATAGTTCATAATAATAATAATAATCATCATCATCAAAGTAGTGAATCATTGAGGAAAATTATCATCATTAAGATCGTGTCGGCTACTTTACTGAAATAATTAAAAATTGTATAAAAATATTTTTATGAAAAAACTGTACAGTGAATAAAATTGTATTGCTTTTTTATTTATTTTTACTTTTAGTTCTCGAACACGAAATAATCAGTCAAAGCGTAACTCTCTCTGTTTTACAGGCACCACGAGGGCCTTTCTCCGTACCCGTGATTAGATCGACCAGGCCCACAATAAGGTGGCCGAGTTCAACTCGGACACCACCTTCCAAAAAGTGATAAATTTTCAATTTTTCGTGTCTCTCTATGCTTTCGACACAGAAAAAAGTGAAGCTATCCCTTTTACAGCGTGTCCAAAGTATTTTGGGATTACACTCAAATGCACATTTTACTTTCTTTTTCGGCCTGGAGATAAATTCGGACCGTAATGACATTGTCTTTGAAATAAGTGAGCTGGTCCTCGGATGACACGATCTTAGAAGTAAAAATTAGTGATGCAACGAATAGTATATTCGGCCAAATACTCGGCTTGATTAACGCACGTACGAAAATTGGCGCGCAAATCGCATTATGGCAAGGATCGCGCACCCTGCTCTCTATTGGCCCGCTGTCAATACGCTTCACAGTTGTAGCGGAGAGACACGAGCGTCATGGCAGTATGTGATTAGTGATGATATCAAATGTGGATAACAATGAAATGACCTATACGTGTAAATAACGGAAAAAAACAGAGAAGGACCGCGAAGAGAAAATGTGAAAATAAATATGAAATTGAGTTGATAACATAATCGAACAAATCGAGACAGCTTATTGGCGCGAAATTTGCAGCCGTCAATGCCAAATAATTGTTCTCATAGACTTCGGAAAGCTAAATGCTTGTAATGAAAGTCACTTAACGTGCACGGGCGAAGCCTGGGGCCTTTCGGGCTACCAAGATGTCTGGAACTTCAGTTGTGATAAATAATTTTGTACAATGAAACAAAAAAGTTAATTTAATTTTCAAGTTTATAATAAGGGATGATTTCATAAAAACGCTTTACAGATCATTAATTATTATTTTTTTCACATTTTATGACCTAAGTTTCGATCTAATGTGCTCTTTTTTCACACCTTTAGGGTTGAATTTCGTAAAATCTTTTCTTAGCACGCATAAACTTTACAAAAGGAACACACACACCCTCAAAATTTTAAGTTTCTAGCACCAACAGTTTTGGCTCTGCGTTGGGCTGCTTATCCTATCAGGATTTGTTCTTTTATATACGAATTTATAGACGACTAAACTACATAAAAAGTAGTTTAGTCGTCTATAAATTCTAGTAGTTTATAAGTAGTTTATAAGTAGGCAGTTTTCATTTGATTAATTACCTTTTTTGGATATCTTAATAAATAACTTAGTTATATTACTTTTCCTTTCCTTTTCCTAAAGAAAAAATTGCGCTTTCTCGAACTTGAAATGTATATTCAGCATTAATAAAAGTTACCAAAATGATTAATTTAGTGTGTTTTTGTTATTTCTTACTCTTGTTTTTAGGTATTCGGTATTCGTCCGAATAGCGAAACATAGGCCGAATACCGAATAGTAACCGAATATTCGTTGCATCATTAGTAAAAATGAATCGTCACGGTAAATGGTTGAAGCTATCACGTGATTTTGATGTCATTATTATTGACAGTCTAAAAGCATACGACAGCATTACATAGACTCAACATAAAACGTCCCGGCATCGATAGTACAACTTCTGTTTAGTCGTATCGTCAACAATGGACTTTAATTAACTGCCCAAACAAATTTGAGGACATGGTTTACATTATTACCAACAATCTGACACTTATGGTCCCATACATGTCGGATTACTGAAACGGTACTGTAATAATAAATAGATAATCATCTATATATCCGAAAGAAAAAATTTTATAAAACAGGTATTGCACACTGCGAAATTTCTGAAACGCCTTCAATCCAGAATAAATTACTAAAAGAAACTCGAAATTCCCGAAGCCACCAGTATGATTTTCCGGATGGATACAAATAATATGAAAAAGTGCTTTTAACGTCGCTAGTCTCGTGATAGAATCTTGCACTGAAATAAACAAAAAATTCTGGACAAGTGTTTAAATTTCTCGTCAAGACGCGATCATATGCCAAAAACGATAAAAACGGGATATCGGCTTTCTTGAATTTTTGTAAATACATCGACGAATATGACTATATTCGTCGATGTATTTACAAAAATTCAAATTAGGAAAGAACGTTCTTCATGTCGCTAGTTTCGTGACACTATAATGCACTAAAATGTACCAAAAAATTGTGGCTAAATGTTTAAATATACAGGGTGATTGAGATGTGACAAAATTTGAAAAAATCAATAACTAAACTGTTTACATTAAGATTACGCGGTTTTCACAGAAATGCTTAGAAAATAAACAAGTTTTTTTTTATAATAAAAATTTTAGCACCAAAGTAGTTACATTTTTTTGCCATAGGGCTTAAACTAAGAACATTTTTATTTTTACAGCATCATCTAAGGCAGGAAATGTAACTATTTTTGTTTTAAAATTATTATTACACCTAAAAACATCTGGCTTATTTTTCAGCATTTCTGTGAAAACCGCATCACCTTATTTTAGATAGTTTGTTAGTTATTAATTTTTTAATATTTCTGACTTTTGAAACACCCTGTACTTCAGCGTCAAATTGTAATCGGCAGGATAAGCGATTTAATTTTAAATCGAACGTGAATGAAATAATTCAGCGTTTGGATATTAAATGCCGTTATAACGATGCACATAAGAGATTAGTTTTGCTCTTTTGTTTTCTTGTATTTATGCGGGTACTGTACTACTTGAATCCTACACCACTGCTAGAATTCTAATTAGTTCAGTCAGCTTCTTTTGTCTATGCTAACTTTCTACTAGTGACGTCATTGCTTCTGTCTCATCATAGAATTTGCAAGACGGCTGATCGTGCTGGACTATTTTTTTATAATCACCATAAAATTATGATAATTATACACCCGCCATTTTTAAAAACGATCAATCTAACTTGCTAACACAGAAGACTATTCAAGGATACACAGATCACTTCTTAGCTCCTGTTTGAAATATCTGCTGTATCAAACTAGTGACCAACTGAATAAAACGATTGAACACTAATAGTTGGATCCAGTTCGTGTATGACCAATGTGATGGCTGCAGGAAGTTTTCTTCGCGTGCCTCACCACCCTTGTTGCATTGCCAAATCAAATCAAACCGATTTTAATCATTTTTAATATAATCTCAAAATATATTTCTGTCAACTAATTTTTGGGCCACTCGGTATTTCATTATCCGACTTCATCTTTTATAATATAATAAAAATAGTGCACAAGTTTATGGAAATCATAAAAAAAAACTTCAACATGTGCATATTCACATCTACATAGAATAAGTATAAAATAATACATGTACAGCCCATAAATTTTTTACTTTAAAAGTTTTTTTTTATGACTTTCAATGTATTAATTTGTACACTATTTTAANTTATATGGCGAAAAATACGGTATATGATATTATTATCATTTAAATAACTATTATTATTGTTGAAGGCATATAAAGAATGCAGTACGAGAAAAGAAGCAGAAAATCTTTTGAAGAACATTCAGGTTAGTTATCAGCATTCAGAATTGTTCTTTAATAGTTTTAAGAACCTCTAAAATATTTTTATCAGTTAAGTAATGTATTAAAAGAGTTTCAGTAAGTTATATTAGTCCATGTATGTATATGTACAGTACACATACATGTATATGTATATGTATATTGTTAAAAATAACTCCATGAATAGGTAATAGAGAGTTTATTTAAAAATAAGAAAAAAAATATCCTTTCATTAATAACATTAATAGTAAAAAAAAAGTTTTAAGACTATTCAAAATTTACAGCTATTAGTTGCTGTTTAATTAACTAATAAAATGAAAGTATATATTTCTAATGTAACTGTAAAAAGTTTCTGGTTTAGACACACAAAATTAGTAAGTTAAATTGATATTATTTAACTCTCTCCAAACAATGAATTATAAAACTTTAAATATAAGAAAGAATAAGCATAGAGGAATTATCTTCATTTTCCTTACTTTCGTAAATGGAGGGATCACTTCGTATGGATTGTTCAAATGAAACTTTGACGTTATACTTTATTGTTTGTTTATTAGATTTTACTTAACAATGAAAGGAGAATAAGAATAGTAGTTACAAAAATATTTGTTTTTACCATTTAGACTTTTATCATAGATATTGTCTGCATACAAGAACAATTGCGAGTTTAATTTCTCTTCAGCAGCCTCGTACACATTGTTATCTGAAATGAAACTTCAGTTCTTTGGGAATTCTTTTAGGAGTTTAATTAGGAATTAATTATTTAATTTTGAAGGTTTTTACCCCTTTTCATTGTAATTTGGTAAATTAATAAAATATAATGTTCTGTTGCTTGGCATAAGCTTGCTGAACATACCTGGAAAAGTGTTTGAATGAATGTTGGTTGACAAAATTGAGAAGCTGACTGCAAAGCAAATATGGAAAGTGGTGCATTGTGGATTTATGAAAGGAAAGGGGTGTGTGGACAGATCTTCACATTGAGAATGATTGTGGATAATGTTTGAATGTAGGTAAAAAGTATTTGCAGTATTTGTTGATTTAGAGAAAGCACACAATGGAGTGAATTGAGAGAGAAACTGTGGCAAGTATTATGTGATTATACAGTGAGAGGTAAACTACTTAGAGGTGTGAGCAATGTTTGAAAACAACAAAGCATGTTACTTTTACAACCGCAATCTGACACTGTTCTGGTCCCATACATGTTGGATTACTGAAAGAGAGTTTACATGGGAAAGGTGGACGGAAAGCACAGTAGGGGAAGACAGAGAAAGTCTCGGTTGGAATAAATGGATAAGTATCCAAAAGAATGTGTGTTGAGTTATAAAGAGAATGCAGGTAAGTGTTAGAAGAGGCACGAGTATGTCTGAAGCAAACGAGGTGTGTCCGGACAGGAAAATGTGAAAATTGCCAAATAGATTGTAAGATTGTGGTATCTTTTTGACTGCTGCTCACCCTTTTTTGGATTATGCATAGGAGGATACGTATGTATATGTTACCGGCAAAGTTTGAAATCTGGCATTCTATAAAATGCCTAAGTATTGTATATAATGCCTAAAACTAGCCAGCAATCTATGAAATGATTCATATTTTACAAATTTTCTAGGCATTCTATAGAATGTCAAATGAGAAACCGGCAAAGTATGAAATATATCTCCGATTCGTTTCGAATATCACGTGGCAAGGAATGTGACTTTTAATGCGCGCCTCAGGCTTAGAATTTGTCGGTTGCACTTTGCGGTTTGTTCAGGAGTGTCAAAATACGCAATTTTACTTAAATTTGTTCAACAAAAAATTAGTTTTTTACTGTGCTCCATGAAAATGGAGGAGCAAGCTGTAATGTTGGAGAAGGTGTCATGGTCTATAAACGTGAAACAACGATTCGACGATAAACTGTTCAAAATTCGAGTTAATGCTGCAAAAAACAGTATTTTCTTAACCGAAACTACTTACCAGAAGTTAATAAATAATGTACAAAAAGTCAAAATGACTACTGAGAAGGAACCCAGGGACTATTGGTTGCTGAATCACTATGATGTGATGATTGTAGAAAACAAAAGTAAACTCATTTATCTTGTTAAAGAAGGCGTCAGTACTATACAGTATTATGTCATGAACTCAGAGTTATTTCATGTACTTCATGAAGCTCATTTGGCTATTGGACACGGAGGACGTGATAGAATGGTGAGAGAACTTTCAACCAAATACAAAAACGTTACATATCATGATATTGAACTGCACATGACCCTTTGTGAACCTTGCCAGAAAAAACAGAAAGGTATTAAAAAGGGCATTGTTGTGAAACCTATGATTTTTTTTAATTTAATTCCCGTTGTCAGGTAGATCTTATTGGCTTTCAGTCTCAGCCAGATAGAGAATACAAATTTATTATGGTGTACCAAGATCATCATACAAAATTTGTGATTCTTAAGTCTCTAATGTCAAAAAGAGCTGAAGAAGTAGCCTACAACCTAGTGGACATATTCTCATTGCTTGGAGCGCAATCTATATTACAGTCTGACAATGGTAGAGAATTTGCCAATAATGTGGTGACCAGCTTGAAGGAGTTTTGGCCAGCACTGAAGATCGTCTATGGGAAGCCTCGCCATTCACAAAGCCAGGGTAGTGTCGAAAGAGCTAATCAACATATTGAAAATATGTTCTGTACTTGGATGCAGGACAACAAATCTGACCGCTGGAGTGAAGGACTGCATTTCATTCAATTTATGAAAAATAGAGCTTATCATTCTGGGATCAAAAGAACACCACACTAAGCTCTTTTTGGCTGAAAACCTAAGGTAGGCTTTACAATGCCTTTTATACCAGATGTTTTAAAAGACATAAATATAGAGGAGCAGCTAGAAAAAGTAATAGAAAGCGTCTAAACAGTGGAAAAAGGTGAAACTAATCAGATTATGCAAGGAAAAGAGCCTGTTTAAAAAACATGGATGAGATTATAGTTGTTAGTGAATTAAACCAACATGATGCTTACTGAAGGGATTTCTGTTTCTGTTTGTGTGTTTAAACACACACAAACAGAAACGGAAATCCCTTTGGAAATTTTTTGACAACATTTTTTGCATGCATTTCTGATACCTGTTGTGTGTGTTTAAACACACACAACAGGTATCAGAAATTTTTTGCATGCAAAAAATGTCATCAAAAACTTCATACCTTCTGTGGCCATGCTAGTAAAGATGATGAAATGGATATTTTGTGCACCCTCTGTTTCAAAACTGAAAATGCTATTGAAGGTAAAATAAATTCTAAAATCAATCTGGAAATACAAGCCAAAAAAAGGAAAATGAATTCAGAAAAAAAAATTTCCCACTGCTTCTTTGGGAACTACTGTGCGAGTTCCTATTCCTGACATCAACAAGGGGCAAGGTGATTCGCACAATATATTGAGAGTTTTAATGAGTGTGACAGAGGATGGTTTCTACAACTTGGAACTTCTGAAGGAATTTTAAAACAAGTATATGCGAGATCACAATTCACTTTATGCCCTAAGAACTTGCTTAGAATTGAAGATATTCCTGGCCATGAAATTCCTCGTCGGTCAGTTGCAATTGCTCAGTCCAGTGGAAGCGGCCAAGGATTCGTCAAATGTATGTGTAAAACAAAGTGCCAAAATATGAAATGTCTTTGCGTGAAAAATGCAATGAAATGTAATTCAAAATGCCATTCAAGCCTATCATGTTGCAACAAGTAGGTTAATTTTAATTTCTTATTTTTTATATGAAAATTTTGTTTCCTTTAATTAATAAGAAAGGCATAAATTTTGTTTGGAACAACTTTCATTTTTCTTTACAAATTTTGAATAAATTTTTTTAATGGCGCACTCATTATTTTTTCAGAATAACATTTGTATTTTTGAGGAATGCACGTCATTTATATAATAGCCTTATCAGAACCTTTTTTCATACTTTGCCTAAATAGCATTTGTCATTCTATAGAATGCCTAGGTATTATATACAATGCCTAGGGAAAGTATGTAATAATTCTCATATTTCATAGATTGCCTAAAAACGCCAGGCATTATATACAATGCCTAGGTATTCTATAGAATGCCGGCTTTTCATACTTTGCCGGTAACATATATATATAAAGTAAAGTAGAATTAATTGTAACATATTCTTACATCTTATAAGATATCTTGAATTTGATCCAATTAACACCTGTAATATAAATTCCATTTAAAAATAATGTGATTACAAGCATATTGCAAGTATAATTGTTAAAATCAATTTCTTATCAGTATATTTTTGTAATGAAACATGATTGACCACATTTTGAATATATTGTTTAATCATTATTCATATAAATATTTTATAAAATAATGTCAAGAATAGTTTACAATATAAGTGAACGCAAANCTTAGATAATTATAATCTTTCATAGTACAAAATTACATCTATATTGTATAAAACTAAATTAAATTTTTTTTTTTAATCAATGGACTAAATTACAAAAATGACTCCAGAATATAACATGTGCCCATTAGTTTGCTAAAATCAATAAATTCTATTAGAAAAACAATACATTAACATTGAACTACTAACATCCTTACATACAATTTGTTTGTTTATCACAAAATATGTATTATATTCATCCATATATATATATATGTATGTATATATATGTACACATTTAACACAAATAATCTGCAATGTTAATTTCTTTGATTTAAATACTGTATCCGAATAATTCACAATTATAAACTTTTTTATGAATGAAGACTAGAATATTTCAATAACAAACTATAACTTAAAACTAACCAGATGATGACTATTGAATAAGTAAAATGAGTAATGAATAAATTAATAAGTAAATTGTTATAAGTCAATTATAAACTCGAATTAAAAAATATATATATTTAAAAAAAATAACAAAGTATTAATTACTAATTATTTGATTGATTGATTTATTTTTTTACAAATAATTTTATTCCTATCTAAATATGTTAATAATACAAGTGATTTAACTCAGAGAATGAGATCTATTATTACTTTTTAAGGTACCTTTATAGGAAATTTAAAACTTTATAGCTATTAGTAATTCTAATCTTTCCAATTTTGACAAAATATTTTTTAAGAGAGATGATAATATGTATAAAGAAAAAATATATGAAGTTTAATTGAATCTTTTGTAGATGTAATTCAGAAATATTCATTTATGTGTATCTACATAGGAATGTATATATACAGTTTATTTGTATATACATACATAATGTGTATATGTGCATGTGTGTTTTTTAGATATGCCAACCTTATAATTTCTAAACAAGTTTGCTTATAAAGTACATATAATATCAATAATTACTTTGAAAACATATGATAATCGCTTAAGTAATTTCACAATCAAAGCAATTATATATTATATTTGATTATTAAAAAGTAAAGAATACTAAATAAACTTTTCAACCAATAAATATTTTAATTACAACTTATTTAACATATAATAAATATATAGACTAATGTTTTCGGTACTTGTACTTTTCTATTATTAATCATGATGATAGAATCTACAAAAACATTACTCTCTACATTTATTGTATAGTAAATAAATTGTAATTAAAATATGTGCTGATTAAAATTACTTAGCATTCTTTGTAATAAATTATTAAACTAAGTTAATAACATATTCTTAAAATATATCAAATACATAAGAAGTACAAGTGAAAACAAATTATATAAAATTTTTTGATTTCAAATAATCTTATTTTTATATTAAGAAAGAGCATTGCATTTGATCTAGCTTTCATTTTTCAACTATAATTCCTACTTAAAATTAATAAAAATTTCATATTACTACAGAATTTCATGTAAATAATATTTAAAATATTTAAATTAATCAACATTAAAATAACAACAAAAAGGAAATGATAAGCTGTTGATATTATCTAATAATTCTTTCATAACTATTTCTGGAATTTAAGAACAGAATGATTGAAATATCTCTTTGAAGAATCAAAAATATTTCTAAGAGATCACTAAGAAAAAATTTCCTAATTAATTTTAATAATTTTTCATACAGAAAAAGTTGATCATAATGCTTTATGCTTGCAATAAAATTTTGTTTTGACAAAACAGGTTACCCATGGTTTAGAAGACACTATTTATTTGAACACTTTTTTAAGACTTATTTTCAACTTTAGAAACAAAATATATGAAATTAAATACAGATAAAACTCACGCTAAAAAACAAACCATGTAATATATTGAATCTTACATCAAGGATACCAAATTTCCACTTCTTTCAATTTTTAATACAACTTTCAATAATTTTTCTTCTTTTCAATTTTTTTATATATTTTAATTGTTTCTAAAGGTGAAAACAAGATTCCTAAAAATATGTAAATAAATAAAAAAAACTTGACTTCTAAAAAGCTAATTATTATGTTCTTTACTATTAAGGAGTTGCAAGAAATGTTGGAATTTTTTCTTAATGAAATTTATCAATTCATGATTAATTCTTTAAAAAATAAATTTTTATATAACATGAAGATCAAAGATATTTGTAACAATGCATATTAGCTGGCTTATCTTCATTTTTAGTAGTATTTTAATATATTTTTTATGTGCTTGTTTGTTTATAAGTTATAAGGTAGGAACATTAAAAAAATCCTGTATATACACATATATGCAATTGAAAATGTCTCTACAAAATAACAATATATATGAATGTGTATATATATACATATATATACACACACACACACATACANATTCTATTGGAAATGTTTCCAACCTATGGCTTGGCTAGCATCAACAAAGTATGCACAACTAAAATAAAGAGTCTTCAAATAATAAATAAATTCCAAAATAAAGTAATAGAAATAAAAAGTATGTATGAAATACATATATTATAATATACAGTATATAATATACATAATATAATGAATATGACTGAAATCATATTATATATATTTCTTTGATGTATGTAAAACTTCGTTATTTCTTTTATTGGTTTTTAATGAACTGAATTGTTTTATTGGATTGAAAAGAATTATATCCTATAGAAATCATTTTTGCCTTAGATGCAATGATAGAATGTTTTTCCATATTCTGCCAACATAGTTTGATTCAAATATATATTATATTTCAAAAGATAGACATTCTTCATTCTTAGCAAATTCATGGCTTAATAGTTTTGATATCAAATGCACACAAATATTTTCCAGAAATACAGATTTCATAAGTAAAATATCATTATTATCAATGCATGGCAATTTCACAATAAAGGTATGCCTATCATCAAGCATCAAAATCTATATTATCATGATATCATTCATAAATCAAATTCTTTTATTTTCTATTAAAAAATTTCACAGAAGAAATAAATAAATTAAACAAGGATCATTAATACAGATAAATAAAAAATACAGTGAAGTGCTGATAATCTGAAAAATTGATTAACTGAAATCAACTTCAGAGAGTAATTTTTCTAAAAATTACAAAGTTTTTATATAATAACAATTTCCAGTCATCTTCCATAGGCCTGATACTGAGTTATCTTCTTATCAATGCTAGTGTTAGCTTTTATTTATTAAATTACAAGTAGAAATACATCAAATGCTTCATTGTGCATAGGTATAGTGAAGCATTTGATGCTTTAGAAACAGCAGAGACATGGTTAGAAATGCAATCTGAAACAGATTTTTCTACTCTCATGACTATCAAGTAAGCTAGGGATTTAACAGCATTAAAAAAAACTATGTAATAAGTGACTTTTTTTTACAAAAAGAACTGTAATAAATAATTTTTATGTGAGT